TATCAGGTACAGGTTTAATATTTGTTAAGCCCTACAATAATCTAACCAAACTTTATTTTGTTTTGTTACACCTAAACCTGATAAAAACCCCATCATTACAATATTCATCCTTAATATCTTCTCTTATGAATCTTAATAAATGTCGTGTTTGATCTGTGATGTTTATCAAAACTTTGATGTTTATCTAAACTTTGATGTTTATCTAAATTTTGATGTTTATCTAAACTTTGATGTTTATCTGAACTTTGATGTTTATCTAAACTTTGATGTTTATCTAAACTTTGATGTTTATCTAAACTTTGATGTTTATCTAAACTTTGATGTTTATCTAAACTTTAATGTTTATCTAAACTTTGATGTTTATCTAAACTTTGATGTGAATATTTAAAACAGTTAGCACGACTTGTGAGCTTTTCAGCACACCACAATTTAGAAAGCTTTAATAAACTTTTTTAGCTTTGCTGATAGAGTTGATAAAAACTTTGCCAATTGATTGCTATCAAAGATAAACGAAGACGATCTTTAATTGTCGTCTCTCAAATGTCATGTTGAATGCTGTATGCTGGGACGTATTATTCAAGCATTTAAATTAACAGATTACTTTTAATTTACAAAATAATTAGCTGTACAGTGTACACTGCAAAGTTTGATACTTAAATGCACATATTGAAAATATTGCATATATTGCAAACTTCCATTAATTTTAGATTTAAAAAAAGTACCAAAAATATTTAAATTTAAATTTCAATATTTAATTATCTATATATATATTATGTGACCATAATTGTTCTGAATAGCTTCCGCACTCACAGTAATTATGATTAAATATATGCAGTGGTTTTCAGGATAAAAGGAATATGAAGACGATCTGTAATTTTGTCAAGAGGAAACATGTTTTATTGTAAATCTTGATTATATGAGAAAATATATATTACTTAATAAAATACGTATTTTTTCACTTCACAAAAAATATGCATTGCTCGGCTGTTTGAATCTCACCTCTGATGGTAGGTTGAGATCAAATCTTGATAATTTTTGCTTTAAGACTGGATCATTTTATGATCATGAAAATGCATGACACTAGTCTGAAATTATTGTATTACAGAGCAAGGTCAAAAAACCTAAAATATAAAAGTATTAGATCATTGACATTACAATATTTTTTAACTTTCCTTTAAATATCTCCTGTATAAAATTCCATTAATGGTGAGAAACCATCTGAAAATATTCAGATTTAAAGAAAGAGGGAATTTTTAAGAACTTCAATATTTTGCAGATAATGTAATCACAAAGTTTATCGCCAGGAAAGTTTCTTGCACTAGTCTCACTTCTCCGTTTAAGTCTCCTAGAATGGAGATTTTATTAATTGAGTTTCTTTTAGTTCTTAAATGTAACATCGGCCAAGAAATTATCTAAGCTTATCCTTTCAACCCTAAATTTAAAACATTTAGTTTAAAGTATATTTTCGGCCGTGAGGATCGAACTTTTTATTATAAGATCGTCATTTTTAACTTTTTAATACAAAATGTTAATGTATCATATTGAACTATTTCATCATGTTGAGATTTTTTTTTAAAAAAAGGTTCTTGGTGGAAATAAAAGCCAAATATTTTATTGGAGCCAAAATGCGGGGCGTGGAGACAGAATGGCGGGAGGCTTGGTGACGTCACGGAGGCTGGGAGACCAGTTTTGCGGGGCCTGGAGGTAATTCTGCAAATCCTGAGGCTCGGAGGTCATTTTTGCGGGGATCATGGCGCCTCTGCACCCCCTCCCTCTCCGTACAGTACCAACGAAATAAACACAACACAACATAAAACCCAAAGACCTGTGTCTTCAGGTATTATACTTCAAATCTTTGTAGCACTCCGTCTCTAATCAAGGGGCATTCCATCAACAGACCAGAAATTCCAGGGGCATTTCATCAAATAGATCGAGACCATTTGGTCGCGAAACAATATTTAAAATGTAGATAAATATATGTATTGTGCATGTGTATCGTAAACATACATATGTGACAGATTTAAATGTTTGAAATTATAACTGTGATGTAATTTCATGAGACCCTCCAATTATGAGGGACCTGGGTATTCCTGATTCACATCGGTACCCTCTAAACCTATATCTGAGCAACAATGATAAAAAATCATTATTTTTTTTCACGGAAAACTGATGAATTATGACAAATCCTTATTCATCTAATATTTCATAAATCCACAAGTTACTCATATTTTTAACTTTAAAATAGAAAAAGTGGATAACTCCATCAATTTTAAGCTTTAAGGGAACCGTTGCGGATAGACAAGCCACTCTTTAAATGCAGGGTCACTTGAAATTACTTCTTTATCACTCATCCTTTTGATGAGATAAAATCATATTTTATGCTGCTAAGGTCAAAACTTAAACGAAGAAATGATATCAATTATCAACTCGTCCAACTATCACAGTCAAGTACACACATTTATTAAGAAACCTGCTTACAAGCTGTTAGCTTCAGAGTTTGAAAAGAACCAGAAAACTCTGACTCGATATAAGGACACCAGCTACATGACTACAAGCAGTACAATGAACATGATATAGTAATTGAGTGGTGTAAACTGACCAATTTAACTAAAAAAGAGGTTTAAAAGTAACTATCAAAATTATTTGCTTTATAACAACATCAAATACACTTAATTATTATTTAATGTCGTCTTCCTACCCTACAGTTTTATGGTTCTCACCGTATTTGAATGTTTTAGTTTAAATTAAAGCCTCTGTATTGAACATAAGAAATATTTCTTTTTTTGATATGTATTGTTATTATATAATATTGTTATTATATGATATGTATTGTTATTATATAATATTGTTATTATATAATATTGTTATTATATAATATTCTAAGGTCCGAATTACCTTTTGTCTGATAACATTTTGTTACAAAGTCAGAAAACCTTAAAGACCAGAAAGTTTTAATTCAGACTGGTCAAAAAGTTTTCGGAAATAAAACCATATGTGAGACAACCAAGTAAGAAAACCTTGTCAAAAACCATGGGTGAGAAAACCTTATCAGAAAACCTAGAGAGAAAACCTTGTCGAAAACTAGGTAAGAAAACCTTGTCGAAAACCAGGTAAGAAAACCTTGTCAGAAAACCAGGTAGGAAAACCTTGTCAGAAAACCTGGAGAGAAAACCTTGCCGAAAACCAGGTGAAAAAACCTTGACAGAAAAACCAGGTGAGAAAACCTTGTCAGAAAATCATGGTGTGAAAACCTTTTCAAAACCCAGGTGAAAAAACCTTGTCAGAAAACCAGGTGAGAAAACCTTGTCGGAAAACCAGGTGAGAAAACCTTGTCGGAAAACCATGGTGAGAAAACCTTGTCAGAAAACCAGGTGAGAAAACCTTGTCAAAAACCAGGTTAGAAAACCTTGTCAGAAAACTAGGTGAGAAAACCTTGTCAGAAAACTAGGTGAGAAAACCTTGACAGAAAACCAGGTAAGAAAATTAACCCTGTCTGTTTAACCCAGAACTTGGTGACATCGAAAGAATCCACCTTAAAAATACTAAATATCTACATTTAATGTTTGATAATGGGGTCTAAAGTTAAGACTCTCTAGATTTTTAACCAGGACCTCTAGTTGACTGTGAGATGACCCCCTGCTCTAAAAAAAGTAACATAGGTGAAAAATCAGGGGGGATACACCCTACCCTGATTTATCTGAGAGGGGGTAATAGTCTACTGCCCCCCAGAACCGCCTGTAGCTTAAACAGCAGTTTTCTCATTTATTAAATCCAAATAAGCAGTAGTTCAGATTAATCATTAGTCCGACTAATACGACGTTATTTGGAAAATCGTCTTCCAAGTTGTTATAACGCGCTTTGCCGCAACATATTTTTGTCGTAATGTACACAATGTAACGGACCCTACGGCCTGCAAGCAAAGTATTGAAAGTCCTATTTTTATGTTTATGTTAAGTTAAATAGATCGTGAACCCCATCATTATTTACAATATTTAAAAAGTTGGCAAAAATTGCCACCAGTCAAAAGGTTGTGCCATCGATTCTACACAGTGGGCCCAAGCTGCTGGGTGGTGTAGGAGGACGGTGTCCATGCATACACAATAGTTAGCAGTATATGAAAACTACTCCAGGTAGGATTGAAGCTGAACTAGAGATGAAGGAGCATATTAAACTACACCAGGTAGGATTGAAGCTGAACTAGAGATGAAAAAAGGTTGTGCCATCGATTCTACACAGTGGGCCCAAGCTGCTGGGTGGTGTAGGAGGACGGTGTCCATGCATACACAATAGTTAGCAGTATATGCTCCTTTACTTGTCCTTACCTTGCCGAAAATTGCCAAAAATTAGTACTCATTGAAGGCTCCATAGAGCTGAGTACAAGTAAAAGGGCATTAGTCCCATCCGATCCTCCCTTATATAGCTAAGAAACTGTCTCATGACATGTTTATAGAGCATATTCGTTAATCAATCAATCAATCCTTTTAATTATGTTATTGTTAAATTAAATAAATCGTGAACCCCATCATTATTTACAAAAATTTAAAAGTATTGTTTACTATATTATTGGAGGGGTTAGTGTAATACCATGGAAACTTTTCATACATTTCATACATACAAGGATTATTTCTGTTCTTTTAGTATTCCCTTATATCAAGGGGGTCCAGGGGGGGGGGGGGACTGGAACCCTTTCTTCGGTAATTTCCTAGAGAACGATTTTTGGACTCCCCCCCCTCTCCTATCAATTTTGTACATGGATCTTAAATGTAAGACATGTGGCCGCAGCGCTCGGCCCCTAGCCTGTCCTAGCCGCAGTGCTCGACACAGAAAGTGTCTTAACCTAACCTAACCCTAAATAAATTCTAATTTAAATAAAAATTGTTGAACAAGTTGTCATGTACAAAATTGATAGGAGGCGGGTCCAAAAATCGTTCTCTAGGAAGGACCCCTTTACTCTTTATTATAATAAGTAATATTTATACTAATGTGCGTTTAGATAGTTTAGGGCCTAATTCTATAGTGTGAAGATAGAAAAATCATTATTTTAGTCAAAATGCAGAATTGTCGTGAACTGTTGAAACCTACAGTTTTATTTCTTCGCCAGAATCCTGTCAGGTATTAAACACTAATTATCTACTAGACTGTTTTTAATATTCTCAACTTTTTTAGATCAGTTCTTTAGATTTCTAGTTAAAAAATACCTGCTTTACCTTTATGAAACTCAAAACTAAATTTTTCGCAAGTTTCAAAATATTTAGAAGTTTGAGATTGTGTTAAGTCTATTTTTTTCTTAGATTCAAAAAGTTTGGTCGAGCTATAATCCCTCACAAGAAACCAAGATGGATTCCTATGGCAAGATCTAAAATGTTTAAAGAACCTCCTGTATTTCTTATTCCACAGGTAAAAAATAATGCGATAGAAGGATTGTAGTCATTCTCAATTTAAAGATTTACCTGCTAGGTTTATAACGGTATCCCTTCAAGCTATTATTAAATATAAATGATGAAGATTTCTATGTTTTTTTTGTCCAAAAATTGTCAAAATTTTTAGTTTGGGGTTTTCGTTTCAAGTGATATCTTTTGTACTGTCACTGAGATGATGGTTTAAATAGGGTACCACTGTGAATCGATCATGTAAAGTAGGTTAACTTGAAATTATGTTTACAGTCCCTTTAAGAACAGTTAAACTCTTGAAATACTCGAAGAGTGGTAAGTTGATCTTTCGAATAAAGCTCTTTGGTCATGTATATATATTTCTATATGTTTGCTATAGCTTTCCAACCGGCTCAACCAAATTGGCTGAAATTCTTTTAAGGAACCTGGGTATCCCCTGGGTGACAAAGGTTAAACAAATTCGAAATTGTTTAAATTCAACTATCAAAATCTTAGATACATACCAAGCGCGGGTAAACGGTTGAATTGAAGTAACTATGATGATGAATGGTTCCCAAGCTAGTATTCTATATGTTCAGACGGAGATCAAGCAGGAAGAGTTTCTTAATCTTGAATATAATAGAAGAATGAACGCATTAATTAAGGTAAGAGTAGAATAAAACAGGGTTTATATTTTCTTGAGAAATCAGGCCCCCTTCGACGATTTTTTATCGGAATTTATTTGCAAAATGGAGATAAATAATTCAGTTTTAGGAGTGAATAAATTAATTTTTAGGTTAAAAGTATCTAAAATTAGAATAAACTTGCCTTTTGACGTACATTTTATCACCTTTCCCCTCAAATCTTTAAAAATCATTCTTAAAATTATATAATCCTGTCTGGAGTAAATTGATAGAAATATCTTTTTAAAAATTGTATTGAATGGATCTACTTCTAATTCAAATAAATGCGAAAATATAAGATATTAAAAAATGTTGTGTCCAGGTAATTTTTTATGAATATATTTCATTTCCTGAAAAAATCTAATCTGGGTTCCTTTTCCTTGTCTAGTATCTTGATGAGGATTATCAGAAATTTTCTGATACTGGAGAAGCGGGTAGGATTGAAGCTGAACTAGAGATGAAGGAGCATGTCAAACTACTCCAGGTAGGATTGAAGCTGAACTAGAGATGAAGGAGCATATCAAACTACTCCAGGTAGGATTGAAGCTGAACTAGAGATGAAGGAGCATATTAAACTACTCCAGGTAGGATTGAAGCTGAAATAGAGATGAAGGAGCATATTAAACTACTCCAGGTAGGATTGAAGCTGAACTAGAGATGAAGGAGCATATCAAACTACTCCAGGTAGGATTGAAGCTGAACTAGAGATGAAGGAGCATGTCAAACTACTCCAGGTAGGATTGAAGCTGAACTAGAGATGAAGGAGCATATTAAACTACACCAGGTAGGATTGAAGCTGAACTAGAGATGAAGGAGCATATTAAACTACTCCAGGTAGGATTGAAGCTTAACTAGAGATGAAGGAGCATATTAAACTACTCCAGGTAGGATTGAAGCTGAACTAGAGATGAAGGAGCATATTAAACTACTCCAGGTAGGATTGAAGCTGAACTAGAGATGAAGGAGCATATTAAACTACTCCAGGTAGGATTGAAGCTGACCTAGAGATGAAGGAGCATATGAAACTACTCCAGGTAGGATTGAATCTGAACTAGAGATGAAGGATTAAACTACTCCAGGTAGGATTGAATCAGAACTAGGGATAAAGGATTAAACAACTCCATGTAGGATTGAATCTGAACTAGAGATGAAGGATTAAACTACTCCAGGTAGGATTGAATCTGAACTAGAGATAAAGGATTAAACTACTCCAGGTAGGATTGAATCTAAACTAGAGGTGAAGGATTAAACTACTCCAGGTAGGATTGAAGCTGAACTAGAGATGAAGGATTAAACTATTCCAGTAGGGAATGAATCTGAACTAGAGATGAAGGATCAAACTACTCCAGGTAGGATTGAATCTGAACTAGAGATAAAGGATTAAACTACTCCAGGTAGGATTGAATCTGAACTAGAGATGAAGGATTAAACTAACCCCTGCTTCTATTTATCAAGGAGAACGACGAAGAAAACCGAAGAATTGCTGAGCTGAGAAGGCTACGCCTTGAACAGGAACAAATTGAAATTAAACAACAGATTGAACAAGAGCTATCACAGGCTGAACATGTTAGTATTTTATGTACATTACAAACATACATTAGATTTTGTGTGCCCTTTATTACTGCAAACTCTTAAATTTTTCTCTAACTGTAATAATTCGTTGATTTTTCTGTTTTAATGATAGATTTACAACAATAAATGTTATTGAAGCAAAATTTTAAATTTCGACCGGCCATAATCCTCCCCTGGGATTAAATAAGTAACCATTATTTATTATTCATTTGGGTTTAATTGGTTTAGCCGTAAGGCGTTTTTTGGATATAAACAGACAAGCCAAATGGAGGGCAAATGAAATTCTAATGACATCTCTTTAATCCCCGAATTAGAAAATAAATGATTTAGAGGTCGTTTGAAGGTCAAACACTGAATTTGTCGCTGCTACTGTATTGCCCTGGTTCCTAGCTTTCGTTTATTATGCATAAAGCCACAGTTTAAGCATTTTCTATTTTTCGAGGTCATTAGTGTCCAATTTTATTTTTGGAAATTCGAAAACAAATTAGGCGCGCAGGCAAAAAAATTGGAAGATTTAAACCAAAAATGAAGGCAGGGACACCCCCCCTCCTCCCCGCCTCCTTATCAATTAGGACATCTCCACCATCCCCTTTGAGTAATAATGCAGACTAATAACAGCGATCATTTAATTAGGAGGAGATGTTGAGATTAGAAAAGGCGGAGGAAATCGTGACTAAAGAGGCGGACCTCATTAATCGGCGAATCATGCCGGAGCGATTAGAAGAAGCAATCTTAGAGGTAATTAATATGATTCCTCCACTCTCCTGGTGGCGGTCTAAGGGGTCCATTCTGGGGTCCTTTGCAAATACCATTTCGTTATGTTCGTTAATTAATATAAATTGATACAATTTACTTTGTTAGGCCCTTGATAGTCCTGTGGATCACGAGTTTGCCATAGATATTCACGGACATATTTATAGAGGACGAGAGACTTATTCATTAAAGGTTAGTTTATTATTTTTCTTATTCTAGAATATGATAACTATAGTTATCTTCAGATATGGTCTTACTTCCTTATTCTGCCATTTATGGTTCCATGTAACTGTGAACTTGTTTTTTTTGCCAAATTATTTAGTTTACCATTAATTAACAATATTGAAGACTTAATTTAAGCTTTAAATCATCAAGAGATGAAAGTCGTCTTTTCAGTCTCATTATTTGTGGGTAACCATGTATATGTTTGTTACTTACTGTTCAATGACAGTGTAGTACATTTTCATCAAAACGTCTAAATTATTTTGAAAATTCGGGGAAAAAACCTGGTCCAGGTTCCCCTGGAATATATTTCCTGAATAAATGCTTCTATTGGAACATATTTTCCTGAATGCATATGTTACCCTGGTTCCACTGGAATATATTTCCTAAATGAGTATGTATTCCAGGTTCCACTGGAATATATTTCCTGAATAAATATTTTGTCTTGGTTCCACTGGAATATATTTTCCTAAATAAATATGTTGTCCAGGTTCCACTGGAATATATTTTCCTAAATAAATATGTTGGCTAGGCTCCAGTGGAATATATTTCCTGAACAATATTGTTATCCAGGTTCCACTTGAATATATTTCCTGAATGAATATATTGTCCAAGTTCCACTGGAATATATTTCCTGATTAAATATATTGTCCAGGTTCCACTGGAATATATTTACTGAATAAATATGTTGTCCAGGTTCCACTGGAATATATTTCCTGAATAAATATGTTGTCCAGGGTTCCACTGGAATATATTTCCTGAATACATATATTGTCCAGGTTCCACTGGAATATATTTCCTGATTAAATATATTGTCCAGGTTCCACTGGAATATATTTCCTGAATAAATATGTTGTCCAGGGTTCCACTGGAATATATTTCCTGAATACATATATTGTCCAGGTTCCACTGGAATATATTTCCTGATTAAATATATTGTCCAGGTTCCACTGGAATATATTTCCTGAATAAATATGTTGTCCAGGGTTCCACTGGAATATATTTCCTGAATACACATATTGTCCAAGTTCCATTGGAATATATTTCCTGAATAAATATGTTGTCCAGGGTTCCACTGCAATATATTTCCTGAATACATATATTGTCCAGGTTCCACTGAAATATATTTCCTGAATGAATATATTGTCCAAGTTCCACTGGAATATATATCCTGATTAAATATATTGTCCAGGTTCCACTGGAATATATTTCCTGAATAAATATGTTGTCCAGGGTTCCACTGGAATATATTTCATGAATACATATATTGTCCAGGTTCCATTGGAATATATTTCCTGAATACATATATTGTCCAGGGTTCTACTGGAATATATTTCCTGAATACATATATTGTCCAGGTTCCTTTGGAGAAGAGAGAGAAGTTGACTCTACGCGGGGAGCAGAAGAAGAACGAGTCGGAAGAAATGAGAGCTTCGATGGAAAACTAAGAAAGTTTAACTTTTATTAAAATTTCAGATCTAACAAGATGTCAGAAGATGGGGCGCAAAACAGGAATGTCTCTTGATAACATTAATTGTCATAAAGGGAATGTTGTTATATAAATTGACGTTCGTTTGAAATAAGGGCATACACCATTCATAACGCTATCTTTAAAGCAAAAATCTATAAAATGAAACAAGACATTCATATATATGTCGCGTATAGCCGGCCAAACGGCTGGACCGAATGGGCTGACATTTTTTGTGGACACTCATGGGTGGCCGGGGGTGTTATAGACTAAAAAATCGAAAATTGTTTTCTTTAAAAAATACATTTTTTCGTGACATATTTTTTCCCACGGGCAACGCCGGGCCCTTCAGCTAGTAATGAATAGAGTTAAGCACGTCTAAGAACACGACTTAATATTTAAAGGGTATAACTGCGAATCGGGCAGAACTATCTTAGAATAGTCATTGGATATTTCTTCAACGCGCAAATATGCTTATAAATTCTAGTTTATGGTTTTTTAAAATTTTTTATTTTGTTAAAATAGACAGAAGGGAATCCATATAATAAAACCGGTTGTTTACGGGAATATTTCCAAATCCTTCGGAAAGAAAAGAGACGAGGACGGACATACTCATCAGTGGACTGTTTTTGTCAAACCTTACAGGTATCGTGCATTAGCGTGGTTGGATCCAGGCCGTAGGATTAAGGTTATATTAAGACACTTTCTGGGCCGAGCGCTGCGGCTATGACAGAACAGATCGTTTTTGAAAACTTTTTCCCAAATGAATCTGAGTTTTTGACCAATTATTAAATTTTTTTAAGGAAGATACGTTCATGAATGTTGACTTAAAAGTTTTTTTTTTATCGAGAAAAATAACCTGAATGTTTTTTGGCCTAAGGTTTTTTCTGATATAAGGTTTTTCGACCAAAATATGTATTTTAAAAAAGGTCATTAACGATAGTCAATAATTTTAAACGACCTACCTTCGTTAACGAAATGACGAACTAAGACTAAAAAACGATATTCTTCAAAAGAGAAAGTAACCGTTTCGTTTTTTCTACGTCGTTTTTAAAACGAAACGATAGTTTTTCAACAGTTATGCATTAGTATGGTTAAATCCATGCCGTAGGCATCATGTTCATGCGTTGCGCCCTGAAGGCAATCTTGGGGTTCTATGTCGGGTTTATTTTCAGATCTATCCATTATTTCTTATTTTTTACAACAAAAAATATATATTATATATATATATATATATATACATATATATATATATATATTAGAAAATCTTTAAGTTTTAAAGCTTATCGCTAAAATACGCACATAATACTCGAACACCCGGTATTTTCTGTATGCACATTTTTATAAATAAATAAATGAAAAAGATCGTGGAAGACCCCCAATGTGGGATATCCAGACCGACTCCGGGAAGGGTCTCAGTCAGGTGCTGATTCCCCTGCCGATTCAATCTGGCACCCTAATCTCATTCCCCCTACTCTAAGGGAAATTAAGGCAGGTACATACCAGACGCCGTCTAGCCATTTTTATACTTACATTTTTTTAATGATTCATTTTTTATTTTCTGATCAGTCCCTTAAATCTTGACTAGAACCTATCTTATATGAATACATGAAAATCGGTCTATTTTCTTCTTTCCTAATCCTTAATAAGAACAATTTTGGATTAAAAACCCGATTTTTAGTAAAAGATGTNCCCCCCGCAGAACAATTTCAATTTAACAAAAGAAATGTGTTTTGAAGTTGCTGAAGGATTTAAATAAATGATCACAAATCTAAATTTATTTTACATGGATGTAAATTGAAAAGTTCTTGATATCTTATCTTTTTCTTTTTTCTGATAACATTAAAGTAAGAACAAAATAAACAGTTTTTGTTCCACTCAGATAAATTAATATTTATTTCATATTTATTAGTTATCAATGAAAGAAATATAAATACTTGAACTGTGTGTTTTTTATATAAAAAATATGACGTATTTGCGTTCCAATGTCCGGGAATAGCTTTGATATTTTCCTTCTTAACATTGTCATTAATCTATTTTAATACCACCAGGTTTATTTTTGTGCTTATAGTTAGGATAATTGGCAAATTGTTACGATTATGGTTCAGACGATATTTATAGTCTGAGAAGAAAATTAGAAAATAATTGAGTAGGAAAGGGGTTCTTGTAACCCTAAACAACATATTTTACCATGCGCGTCATATTGTCAAAATACACCCCTGAATTTTTATATTTTTAGAAACGAGGATATGTCAAGTTATGTGAAGAAAGTGCATTTTAAACTCCACGACAGGGATAAAGATTATTTTAGATTAAAGAATATTTTAGATAAAAGAATATTTTAGATAAAAGATTATGTTAGATAAAAGAATATTTTAGATAAAAGAATATTTTAGATAAAAGAATATTTTAGATAAAAGAAAATTTTAGATAAAAGATTATTTTAGATAAAAGAATATTTTAGGTAAAAGAACAAAACTGGATTTTGAAAAATTTCTGTATGTAAAGTTTATCAATTCAAGGATAATGCCTTATTAACACTTTGTTTCCGGAAATTTTTAAGGTGTTTAATTTTGTGAAAATAATTATTCCCCCAGCTATGCGAATCCGAACAGAATAGTTACTAAACCACCATATGAGGTAAACATAAAAGTCTTGTCACACAAAATTTAATACTTGTTTACGTTTTTTTGTGTTCTTGGTATTGACATTGTACAATAAGGTGTCCATGGATGACTAACTTGTGAAAACAGGTGCGCGCGGTAGCTTTTCCCATTTACAGCATTCCATTGGATCCGCAAAATTTTGGCTTCCTCGATCCGGATCCGGAAAAATATGCGGATCCATGGATCCGTATCCAAGTGGCAAAATATCAACAAAATTAACAATATAAAAAATGTTTTACTCTCAAAACTTAAATCTGAACTATTGAAAAAAGAGGGATTATAAAAATTTCCTGATCCCTGAATGGCTTAACAAGTTTAAGCATAAAAAAGCGAGAAAAAAATAAATAAAAATAAATTGACAATTCTGCTTTCGGATCCGGTTTTTTTCCATTGCGGATCCAGGACCAGGACCCGGATCCGCATCAAAATTAAGCACTGTTCGAGACTAATTTTTAATTTATTTCACTATTGTTTAGGTTACAGAGACGGGTTGGGGAGAGTTTGAGATCGTTATAAAGATATTCTTCAACGATCCCGTGGAACGACCAGCAACGATCTTTCATGTGTTGAAACTGTTCCAGCACGGTCAACCCACAGGTAGCAGCTGGAGGGGATTAATGTACACCTTGTTTTAGGTCAGTGGGGTTCATATAAATTGCAGATAGTGGCAGATTTATTGAAACTTTCTTGAGTAGTTTTTTTGGAACTAAGATACTATTTGTTGTAGATTATGTGGACATGATAATATTTGTGGTAAATATGAACAAATATTTGTGGGAGATTTGGTGGACTTCCACAATTTGTGGCTTTGGAAATAACTAAATTTTGTATTTTTAGATGCAGCTGCCCTTCTACAACAAGGGAAGAAAGTTGTAATTTCTGAGTTTTATGATGAAATTATTTTCCAGGTAAAGAAGAATTTAGATTTAGATTAGAACTAATTCTACCCGAAAATTATTTAATTACAAATTATAGCTTGTGGTGAAAAATAACGTTTTTACAGGTAAAAGTTTAAAAAAGAGAGAACATTTCAAGATTAAATCCCACCCTTTCTCCCTATTTCTAGAAATATTTTAACACAGCTTAGCTTGATACTAAACCTTCTCTATTAAAGTATTTACTCACTTAATTCAGAATTTGGAAACTGAATTATGATCGGATATACAAACAAACAAAGACATACAGAGAATACTACTTTCTTTTATTTAAGTTATAAAGTGAACCCAATCAATTTTTAATTTATATATATATATATATATACATATATATATATATAAATGCAACCTCTCCTAATCTCATGTTTTGTAGTATCCAACCCAATATATGCAACCTCTCCTAATCTCATGTTTTGTAGTATCCAACCCAATATATGTAACCCCTCCTAATCTCATGTTTTGTAGGATCCAACCCAATATATGCAACCTCTCCTAATTTCATGTTTTGTAGGATCCAACCCAATATATGCAACCTCTCCTAATCTCATGTTTTGTAGGATCCAACCCAATATATGCAACCCCTCCTAACCTCATGTTTTGTAGGATCAAACCCAATATATGCAACCTCTCCTAACCTCATGTTTTGTAGGATCCAACCCAATATATGCAACCTCTCCTAACCTCATGTTTTGCAGGATCCAACCCAATATATGTAACCTCTCCTAATCTCATGTTTTGTAGGATCCAACCCAATATATGCAACCTCTCCTGACCTCAACCCGACCCATCTCTCTAGGAGCCTACAAGCACGAAACAGATTTCGAGGTAATTTGCCAATTTTTAAAAATATTTTAAAGTAAATTATTTATTATTTTCAAGCGAAATTTTTATAATTTAATATGTCAGAACTATGAATTCTTCAAACATTAAAATTCGGTGAGACAAGGTTTTTTATCTATCCTTGTATAATCTGCACGGTTTTGTTCAAATTGAAATAATTAAAAAGTTTTTTATTCAAATAAAAATCATGTTGTTTCGATTTTGATTAATTTCTCGAAGCTTTTTAAGCCTGAAAGAAATGTTCAGAGTTTTTTTTTTTATAGGAGAAAAAGAAGACGACCTTAGCATCGATAAAGAACGGGCGCACAAGGAATTTATAAGAAATTCGAAAAAAATTTAAATCTCTTGAGAACTAAGACATGTCATATTTCTTGATCCCTGGTTTGAAAATCATATTTAAGGGACTGTCAACGTCATTTCTCGTCACTCACAGGAACAGATGTTCTATTCTCAACAGTACCCTTTTAACCTTTGTCTGATTGAAAATGATGAAAATGTGTCTGTTATAAATCTGAGCATTGTTTCTTTTCAAATGTTGCTGCTCTTAAAACAAAAGAAACTTGCGGATTTATAAAATTGAGACAAAGTAGGAAATATCAGAATATAGAACTTGTCCAGAAAAAAAAACCCGACAAATTCTTCCTTATTTTCGCGCCGCTAAAATTATAAAGTTTTTTTTCCATTGTGGTTCCATGATCTGGATCCGCATCAGCACCAAAATTAAATGGATCCTAAGCACTGGCTAAAATAATTATCTATATTTTAAACTAGTTTGCAGGTCAAATTTTAACAATATAGAGTTAGGTCCAGTGAAAACAAAACCGACCTTGGTTGGTTTTGATGGAGAATAAGGCTCATTGTTGAGTCTTGTTCTCACGGCAACCCGGAATGCGCCAGTTCCAACCATGAAAATCCGTCAAATATAATATTAAGCCAGTTTTTTTTCTTTTTTTTAACTTAACTCTGGAAAATAAGATGCAGCTTGAATCCGAAAGCTCAAGCTGCAGCTTAGACCCGAGCCGTATTTTCCCGAGTTTTTAAATCGCGGGCTGAGGACCGATAAATCTGAACATTTTATGTTTATACTGATGATATGAATGAAATGAAATGATTCGAATGAATAAATGTTCAGAGTACAAGCTGAAATAGAAGATCTTAAATCCAAGTTAGATCTGGCAAAATCAACAATAAGGAAATGCTCGAATTATATTACTAAATCAATTAATCATTTACAAAATTATGTTTATTTTTGTGCAAAGAAAGTTTGTTTTAAAGTTAAACAGAGCTGAAAACTTTAGAATTTAATAGCATTAACCCCTAATGCTTAATCTGAATATCCACAGTGGAACTTATAATTTTCTTAATCCTCTCTTTTGGTGCACTCTGATTGGTAGAATTTTAGGCACTGAAGATTAACAAAAAGAGATCAATTGATCTTGATATCCACAATTCTAAAGTTTTCAGCTCAGGGTAATTTATTTTTTTGTTTGATTCTTTGCTATGATATTTTTTATATAATGTTAGTTTGTTAGTTTTTGATTTGCATGGTTACTTTTTGCTTGTTTATATGAGTTTTTATTTGCCATACAATTTATTTTCTAGTTTTTCATTTGTAAAGGTACTTTTTTGTTAGTTTATTAGCAACTTTATTTTTCTCTGCTACATATATACAACATAGTATTGTTCGCTATATTTTTATTTGCAAGGATATTTTTTTTGCAAATTTATTTACAAGTTTAAATTTTGATAAGTTATTTATTGCAAGGTTGTTATTTTATTATCTTGTATTTTGCTCAGAAATTTTCCGAAAATGTTTGATTTTTTATTTGAAATTATTAAATAAATTTGACTGGTTTTCAGTAAGTTTAAAGATGAAGTGAACAAAGCTCAACAAGAAAGAGGAATTGAAGTCAGCTGATGAACACATCTTTGTCAGCTGACAGTCCGGTCTCAATCGGCTGATAGTTTGGTCTCAACCAGCTTAAAAATTGATATCAAACAGTTACCTGATAATTGAATTCTTAAAGTACTTAATAATTCAGTTTTTACGCCAAAATACTGTCTAATTTCTTTAATGTTAAGTGGTTATTGCAAGTGGTTGATTAAAAATCTACCAATATCAAATTTCTATAGTTTTCTTATTTCAGGATAATTAATCCAAAGAAAATATAAAAATGGCGGAACACGTGAGTAAAGAACATCTGCGAATGGCTGGTGTCGTAAAACATGTTCACTCGGAGCTAAGAAGGAAATTGCGATCCGGGAAACCATTTCATGAAGTAATTAATACATATAAAGAAGACTCTTGCTCCGCTGGCTTTAAATTTTTGAAGACTCAATTTTAAAAATGATTATAACAATTTAGAACAATACCATTGTTCTTGTTTTTCGTCTTTAAAATTGAAAAGTTGGATCAACGTGTTTTGAACAGCAGAGATCTTTAAGATCAACGTGTACATTGTGCAGTGCAACACATTTTTTACACAACATTTTACAATTAATATTCTACATTTTAAAGACATTTTCCCAAACGACATCTTCCCAAGGGTATTTTATTAAGAGGTCTGTCCTAGCCGCAGCGCTCGGCCCCCCCATTGCACCTCAGAAGATCTAAATTAACCTTTAGGGAAGTGCCTCTTGGGAAATTGAACCTTCTTGGAAAGTTGCCACTTGGGAAGTCGCACGTGGGAAAATGCCACTGGGAAAGTTTTTAACACCCATTTTCTAACATTGAACGGGTGAGAGGGGGTATTTTCTAAATAGACATTATATTTGGTTACTCTCCACTGAACATGGTTTAATGCCAAATAAAGAGTCTGATCTAGATCCAATGCAAGCATTTAATTATTTTTCTTTACAAAACGAGTAAAACTTATAAAAAAGGCCACAAACTAACAAAAAAAGGGATTTTCACTCGCAACGGTTAATACCTTAAAATGGGTTAGGTATCTTTAACGTCGAGTTGGATATATAAAGAATAAATGGCCGTGAAATTACACTGTGAAAGTGCGTAGGATTCATTAAATTTTGATGCGGATCAGAATCCTATATCCGCACTGGAAAAAAATAGATTCGGATCCAGATCATCAAGATTTACTGATTTTTTTAACAGAAGAAGAATTTTCGAATTATTTTCCTTTTTTTAAACTTGTCTTTCTTTATGCAACAACTTGAAAACCATTCAGAAAGAAGTCTCTTTTTTCTTCAGTTTTTGTTCTTCAGTTTTTGGTTGATATTTTTGCTGAACGGGATCTGGATCCAGGAAGTCAATAGGTTGCGGATCCAATGGATCCGAATCCTAAGCACTTTTTGATCTATTTTAGGTAGGATTCCATTAATTCAGTTTCCACAGCCGCATATGTTTACACTACACATGTTTTCTGTAAATAGAATATCTCGGACAGGAGCTCAATCCGGTTTTCCTATCAACAAAGGTTGATTACAATATTATTATTCTTTAAAGTGAATATTAAATTTTTCTTTATTTTAGGTTTGGAATGAACATTTATCACAAGAATCAACACTGCAGGTAATGGTAAAAAGTTTTATTTCGGAGGAAGNTTGTTCGATTATTTAATGTGTATTTCTCTTTTTTGTCGTTTGTCCTTTTCTAAAATAGATTATTTTCACATATTTTTATTCTTCAAATGTCGATTTTAAAAAAGAAAGCCATACAATAACTATTAAATTAAACCCTTTTTTAAGGATTATACTTACATTTGTATTGTACTAATTGTAGAGATATAAAATTTCTACACTGAGTGTACTGAGTGTACTGTCTGTAAAGTCTGTTCTGTGCGTACTGTCTGTATTGTGTCTGTACTTTGCGTATGCTGTCTGAACTGTACTGTCTAAGAGTATGGAACTATACGGTACTATACTGTGTATACTGTGTAGGAGTATGTGAAGAGTATGGAACTGTAATGTACTGTATTTACTGTTTAGAAGTATGTGAAGAGTATAGAACTGTACTGTACTGTGCTACTACGTAGGAGTATGTGAAGATATGGAACTTTATTGTACTGTGTTTACTTTGTAGGAATATGCGAAGAGTATAGAACTGTATTCTACTGTGTTTACTTTGTAGGAATATGCGAAGAGTATAGAACTGTACTGTACTGTGCTACTATGTAGGAGTATGAAAGAGTTGGAACTGTATTGTACTGTGTTTACTTTGTAGGAATATGCGAGGAGTATAGAACTGTACTGTACTGTGCTACTTCGTAGGAGTATGCGAAGAGTATGGAACTTTGCTGTTCTGAACTGTGTATACTGTGTTGGAGTATGTGAAGAGTATGGAACTGTAATGTAGTGTGTTTACTATGTAGGAATATGCGAAGAGTATGGAACTTTTGGCCACTCACCACTGGGCTAAGGAACGTTTCTCAGCAATCAAGTTTTCTTCGATTTTATAACTGATTGGTTGATTAATGGAGATTTTTGAAGATTGCTTTTGTGAAAAAATTACTGAAATTATTGAAATTAACATACTGAGATGCTGACTTCATAGTTGTGTAATTGATTTATTAATTAGACGATTAAGTAACATATTGATCGATTGGATTGATTGATTGATTGAATAAATTGATTGCTTCGTTTTAAAACTAAAATATAAACTTTGTTAGATTTATATCGACTGTTTGATTGACTTGAACAAATGCGATTTTGACTATCTGTTCATTTATCGCATTATGTATCAATTGAAATCGCGCTTGATTGATTGATTGATTGATGAATTGATTGTTTGATTGATCAATTGATTGATTGACTAGCTAGAGGAGGTTGACCCTGCTACATGTAGGATAAACTGGACTTACTCCAAAATACAACAGGCACGTATTCTTTACAAGTCAAGAATTTCTGTTTAAAACTACAATCGTCGTCGTATCTATGCAATGCAGACGACTTTTTTCAATTTTGATTTCTACCAAGCTTTCAAACAGCAGAAATACTACAATATTTAAACATGGAGAAGTTGTCATTTAACAACTTATATTTGTTTACTTGTAAACTTGTAATTTGAAAATGCTTGTTAGGAGTTAAAGCATTGTCAATAAAAATCTGTCTTCATTGTATTCATATAATCACCGATCACTTTAGTTTTTGAATAATTTTCAGTTTGGTGATTCTGATAAATTTTCGTTCGAACCAAACAAGTCCCACAGGAATTTTTATTTATGGTCAAAAAGTAATCAACAAAATTACAATGTCTAAATTCTAAGTAAACTTCAGTAAAAGTATATATTGTAAATTTATTTATAACTAGCTGAAGTGCCCGGCGTTGCCCGTAGAATTTTAAATATTTTAATTTAAAAAACATCAAATCTATTTTTAACGTTTACCTATGGGTTTCCTCAAAAAAATGTCATCCAATTTATATATATATATATATATATTTCAGTTTATAACTTCACATTTTTTATTAAAAAAGAATTATACTAAACATAATGTTTCACGCTATCATGACGATCCTCAGTAGTTACAATTTATTGAACAACTAAAATTCTATATATATACATTATACATATTTTAATTTTTAAACTTCACATTTTATTCAAAAACAATTGTACTAAACATAATGTTTTACGTCTCAGCGAAGAGATTTTTTATAAAGATATTCTTGAAGAGAATGTGTTTCAGTATTTTCACGGTGGAGGCCTGGTTCAACAGCTTTACAAGGATAAACGACGAGCAGAGAGGAATTCAGCCAGGGAACAATTTTTCAGCAAACAACCCGGAATTTTTCATCATCTAATTTTTCTGTTCACTCTTGGTTTAATGAAAAGTTTTGATCTTTTTCCATTTTATGTAATAGTTTTTACACTCTTGATTAATTGGTTATTGGATTTCATTGATTGATTGATTGATTGATTGAGTTATTGATTTTATTTGCCAAACTGATAATTATCTGCAGTACAGAATGTGAAGTAGATCCCCCAATCCCTCTGCGGGTACAGATGCTTGATGTTGGTTCCTGTTATAATCCATTCTACAAGTACAGGTACTGTACTGTACAACCCGTACACCTTGTAGAGTACATATACTTGATGTTAGTTCCTGTTATAATCCATTTTACAAGTACAGGTACTGTACTGTTCAACCCGTACACCTTGTAGAGTACATATAGTTGATGTTGGTTCCTGTTATAATTCATTTTACAAGTACAGGTACTGTACTGTTCAACCCGTACACCTTGTAGAGTACATATACTTGACGTTGATTCCTGTTATAATCCATTCTACAAGTGCAGGTACTGTAATGTTCAACCCGTACACCTTGTAGAGTACATATACTTGATGTTGGTTCCTGTTATAATTCATAGTACAGATACACATTAATGGTAAGCTAAATGATAAATCGTTTTCTTGTGAATCATTTGGGCTTGCTTTTTATTTTAACAGTTTTTAAATTGTTCTGATGAAAATATAATTTGATCCAGACCAGATTCGATATTCGACATTTAACCATGATAAGTTGAGAGTAATCAGATAATCACGGTTCAATAGCCTCTCTGAAACATTACACTGTTATACTTAATGTTTTATCAATTTTATTTTTATGATTTACTAAAAAAACAAGAAATACAAGTCTTTTTTTCTAGAAATACCAAATAGACTATCAAGTACAATAGGTGGCAACGCAGAATTTGCACACTCAGTTCAGCTGTTTATACGTCATAAGTGTCAACTCAGCGTTATGTGTATAACAAAATTATAAATTATAGTGATAATTTTATACTAAAGTGCTTATCTTTTAGTGAAATCAGTGCAAATTCATGTGTTTTTTATTTTCTGTTTTTACACTTTTCCTTTCTTTCTTTTTACATTTGACACTTGTGACGTTGTGCGCACTTGGTCGATTTTTCTGTTGCCATCTATTGTACTTGACGATCTATTTGAGAAATACATAAAAATTCTTTTATTGTGGTTTACAATCTTTTTCTGAAATATTTCTTTACATTGTTTAAAAGCATAATCTGTTAAAAAAAGAAAAAGAATTATCTATTTGTATTTTGGAAGCTGAAAATCGATAATTTCTTTTATGACTATTTTTAATAAGATATAAATTTGTTCATTTACGTATATGGTGTTAAATGATAAATACTTCTCAAACCTTGTTTGGTATTAAAATCAGATTTTTAAAAATGTTAATATTTAGAATTATTTAAGTAATAGCTTTATATATTTAGAGATGGTAAAGTAACCGCTATATTTTTTTAAATGTTGGAGTAACAGCTTATATATTTAGTGATGTTGAAGTAACAGCTTTATATATTTAGTGATGATGAAGTAACAGCTGTATATATTTAGTGATGTTGAAGTAACAGCTGTATATATTTAGTGATGTTGAAGTAACAGCTGTATATATTTAGTGATGTTGAAGTAACAGCTGTATATATTTAGTGATGTTGACGTAACAGCTGTGGATATTGCTCCTGCAAGAGATGAAGTTCTAATCTGTGATTTTATAAATGTTCCAATTAAATCTGAAAGGTATAGGATTACTAATATTCTGTAGAATATTAAATATTTTGTTTATATTTCAATTTATAAAAATACAAAATATCTCTTATCCCATACAATCATTCATATCTCCAGTTATTAAGGCAGACTACATTTTAGAAATGTCAAATGAATGGAGCAAACCTTTTCAATGGTCAAGGATGACTTTCAAGTTTATTTCACTTGTTTAAGAAGTTATGCTTCTTTAAAATCGGACTGTATAATGTATAAATAATATGTATATTTAACTTTATTTTTTTAAATTTTATTTTTCACCATAAATACATTATATGTATGTATGTTGTACAGTGTACAATATAATGTACAATGTACATATAATGTCTATAAAATATTATCGTTATCTAAATATTATTTCTAAGGGAATTTGACGGAAGAAAATTAATCAGCCTTGGAGCAGAATCCTTCCATGTTATTCTTTTCTGTCTTCTTCTAGAGTACATTCCTTCCCAACTAGCCAGGTAACCTTACATGTTCTTTTCTGTCTTCTTCTAGAGTACATTCCTTCCCAACTAGCCAGGTAACCTTTCATGTTCTTTTCTGTCTTCTTCTAGAGTACATTCCTTCCCAACTAGCCAGGTAACCTTTCATGTTCTTTTCTGTCTTCTTCAAGAGTACATTCCTTCACAACTAGCCAGGTTACCTTTTATGTTCTTTTCTGTTTTCTTTTTGAGTACATTCCTTCCCAACTAGCCAGGTAACCTTTCATGTTCTTTTCTGTTTTCTTCTAGAGTACATTCCTTCCCAACTAGCCAGGTAACCTTTCATGTTCTTTTCAGTTTTTTTCTGCTTTATGAAATATCCAAAGGTCGATTTTTCTCTTCTTTTGGTAATTAAAGGGACAGTAAGCGTAATTTCAAGTGACCCACCAATCTCCATGTATGGTGATTTTTGAAGAATTACCTACAAACTCAAAATTTTAAATTTCATGAATGAATTGGTTATTTTGATGTCAATGGCATAATAAATTAATAGAATTAAAAAAAAAACAATGAAAATTGACAAAATGCATTGTTAACGTTTTTTTTATTTAATTAACATTTTTTTTAGACTTGAATGTTGTGAAAAGGCGAGTAAAGTTTTGAAGAAAAACGGGATATTAATCATTATTACACCTGGTAATTAACTATCTTATCTTACTTTTTATATTTCTTTTATGCAGAACACAATGTTGGATGATTTTTTAAATTATTGATGCTTCGTCATATCTTCATTTTATTCTACAAATCATTTTGTAATTCGATGAGAAGTTAAAGGTTGAATCTTTAAAGTCTTATTTGAGAATCATTAAAAAAATATTCAAATTTTATCCCTTAGTTGTTATTATTTCCTGAACTTTAAGCGTTTCTTTTATATAGTTTCAGTTTTCCCTACTCAGCAATAAGTTCTAATAAATCACTTGTGAAGAACTTATTAAAACTTGCTAAATCAAACGAAGTATTTTGATCAAAAGTAAAAAACCAATCAACTCATTTGTTTATTTTTCTAGATGTAGGTTTCTTTAGTAGATTGTAATAACAGTAAAAACTAAAGGCCGAAATGGGGTTTGTTTAAAATGAAAATTATAATTTCTTCTTAGAATAAGGAGCCAGGCTGTATTCTGCATGTAAAAGCCCTGCGCCCATTTTTTAAAAAATCTAAGTATTGTCAGTTGGTGTCGGATATCTTTTGTCAATCTTAGCTAATTTTTGTAAAATTAAAATTGCCATGCGAAAATGACTTTAAGCGTGGAAAAAAATCAAAAATGTCACTTGGAAAAACAAACATTTTTTTTGCAAAATATGTTTCTGAATGCAGTGTTTCAACACGGATCGTTTGCCATTCGACGTATTTTGTGTCAGTGAATTTTTCGACTAACTGACAAAATTCGGTTTCCGAATGGGAATTTTGATTTTTTATTAAATCGTCTTTTCTAATTGTTGTTTGTATATCTAAATCTCTTCGAATTCCGAGGGACAGAGCAATTGGAACAATCACCCCCCTTAGCTCCCATTTCAGGTTTCTTTTCAGATCATTCTATTATTTCTTATTATTTTTCAGTTAGACATGTTAATAGGGGGGGGGGGGTAATTGGAACAATCACCCCCCTTAGCGCCCATTTCAGGTTTCTTTTCAGATCGTTCTATTATTTCTTATTATNAACTTTATTAGATGCATCTCATTAGATGGTTTGTTAGAAGGTCAACATTATTAGATGCATCTCTTTAGATGGTTTGTTAGAAGGTCAACTTTATTAGATGCATCTCATTAGATGGTTTGTTAGAAGGTCAACTTTATTAGATGCATCTCATTAGATGGTTTGTAAGAAGGTCAACTTTATTAGATGCATCTCATTAGATGTTTTGTAAGAAGGTCAACTTTATTTTGAAAAATTAATTCTTACAAGAAAAAAGATTTACGTCAAAGTTCGTAGATCGACCCCCACCACATACACATACATATAAACAGTTTGTTTTTAATCATCCTGACAGAAACAATCTCAAGGAATAATAAAAATTGTCTTAGAATATTTTTTAAAAAGTGAATATTTGCAAATTATCTTTTTTCCATCTCATGATATGAGTTCGTTTCCCTTTTGTCCATTTGACAACCCAATTTTTTTTTAAATTATCTTTTTGTTTGCTTATTTTCTTGTGGTTTTTAGCATTTTTTACTATCGATTTTGATGGTTATTATATTGTTTGAACCGACGAGGGTCAACCCAGACCGAAATATCTTTTCAATAAATGTGGAACTAACTTTTACTTTTTTTACTCTAGAGAGGTTAGGTCACCATCACCGAATTTTAAAGAAAGAAAAAATCAGATAAAAATGTAGAGATAAATAAGAATTGGTTCCCAGAAAGGGTCCGAATGACGAATACAACCAATGCAACTGTTTTGTTTACTTATTAGTAATATTAGTAACAAGCAATTTCAGTTTCATAAGTTAATTTGATTTGGAGGCTGACTCGTGAATTTTTGTATTTCACGGAGGCATTGAGAGATGGAATTTTTATACATCATCCCCTAATTATCAGATTTAATATTAATATATAGACTTCTTTCCTACCTTACCCCATTCGGGGTTCCAGAATCCTGATTTATCCAAACACAAAAACAGAGATTGCCTCCCCCCGCACCGGTAAAATAATAGTTGAGATAAATAGATAAATATTTATATAAAAAAATATAATTATATATTTGAGAGGTTATATAAATATTTATATAAAAGATATAAGTATATATTTGAGAGGTTAGATAAATGTTTTTACAAAAAATATATGAATATGAATAATTAATTTTAGATTCCTCTCACCAAAATAAGAACTCTGTTCTGATAAGAGGATGGAAGCAAGTCTTGTCTCAAATAGGTAAATTTATTATTCACCAGCTTCAAAACCAAGCTTTGTCCGGAAATAGAACTTCACCTTTAAAAGTCAAGTGACCCTCCATTGATAGAATGCCATGTCCGATTTACAACGGTACCCTTAAACACAGATAGTCTGGTCAAGTATAACTTGTATAGTATATATTGTATAGTATAAATAGTATATATAGTGTATAGTATATATATTGTATAGTATAAATAGTATATATATAGTGTATAGTATATATAGTATATATATTCAGAGTGGCCAAAATGTACAAAAAAATGTACGGATTTTTAAAAAAATGTACGGATTGGTTTAAAAAAATGTACGGATTGTACGGATTTTTTTTAAAAAAATTGTACGGATTGTACGGATATCTTTTCGAAAATTGTACGGATTGTACGGATTTCTTCTGAAAATGTACGGATTTTTGTACGGATTTGTTCAAAAAAGTTTTGGCCACCCTGTATTTGACACTTGTGACGTCGTGTATAATTGATCCATTTCTTTGTTGCCACCTATTATACTTGGTAATCTATTTGGATAACACTATAACACTACTCTTTTATTCATACTTAAAATACATTTTAAGTTTCTCATTTGAAAGAAATAAAAAAGGAAAATTAGGTAGAAAATGCAAGTTGTTCAAAATGACCTTGTAAAGAGAATAAGTACAAAATAAGAAATAAGTTTGTTTCTCTCCTCTTTTTAAAATCATTTCTAGGTTTTGCTCAAGTTTATTATGAGAAGAAGCAACATTTTCATGGATTGGTTTTCAGGAAGCTAGGTAGGAATCTGTTTAGAAAATATTCACAAAAGAATTGTCAAAAAGAAATGTTAATTCTTCATTAAGTTCACGATTACAACTATTTGAAGTCATCGTTTCTTAGATAAAGGATTAAATGGCACTAGAATCTGCTATGTTTATTGTTTATTGTTTGAAGGGACTGTAAGTGTAATTTCAAGTGATCCTTTTATGCAAAGATGGCAATTCCTAATTCACATCGGTGCCCTCAAAATCTTTGTATGATCAAGTATGAATCAGATATCAATGTTTAGAATTTTTAAAACTGATTATTCTCAATTATGGTTTCTCTCATTAAGTACAGGAAAACCCAAAGGTATTAAACACTGTAAAACATAGAATAACTAAAATATCTTCCACCATATTGATCAGATAAAGGTTTAAACGTATTGTTGTGAATCAGGCAGTGCTATTGTATTGAGGGATACTTCAAATTACTGTTACAGTGTCTTTAAATAAACTGACCTTTTAAAATTACGTCACAATTCGTTTAAAATTTACCTAAAACAAAATTGACAGATGAAGATTAATAAAATTATTTTTTAGGAGAGGAAGAGATGGCTTTAGTCCGTATGGAGAATTCTTTAATTCCGTTAACTAGAGAAGAGATGATACAAAGGTTTCAGATTCCACAGGACTCCAACCCAGAGGTGTCACTAGAGTCTACTCCTGAACTTGAAATAGACCCAGATACCATTCTTGATCACTTCTCAGAGCTTCCAGATTTTTTTCCTGACACTTAGATCATTTGGTAGATTTTATTCATTGACCCTCACCACGACTTGTACAGTAAATGGTTTGTCTTTTATCTTCAAAGACTTTACTGTGATAGTATTGTTCCTCCCAAAACCAATATTTGTGAATTATGTTCTAAATATTTGCCAAATTAACTTATCATTGCACTGTTATGATCGTTACCGTTATGTGATAATTATTAATATTTTTTCAGAACTATGCAAAACAATTATTTTGTTGCCTTATGTATCTTGTATCCTGTATCCTGTATCCTGTATCCTGTATCCAGTATCCTGTATCCTGTATCCAGTATCCTGTATCCTGTATCCTGTATCCTGTATCCAGTATCAGTGTATAGTATATAAGTTTTATAATTAAATATCTCATATTTTTGTTAAATACTAATTCGACAGTAAAAAGTTTTTAAGAGAGATAAATTATATATAAACGTTTTTGCTGTTGAAAACTGATTTTTAATCTAAAAAGTGATTTACGCATATCCTGCGTCAGAAATAATAAATAAAATTAAATACTTTTTTCAAGCTAGAAAAACGACTGCATTGTTGACTAGATTTTAAGGGTTGACTCAGACATGCTCGTTTTTAATGAGGGTCACTTGAAATTATAACAACGAACTCCACCGTGATTTAAAGGTTGCAAGCTTACAAGCAAGCATCGATGATCTTTTTGCCAATTACTTGTTAAAAATTAAAGCTAAAAACTACCTTGAAGTTCTAAAATGTACATGTTCAGGGTAAAAAAGCATAATTGTGTTATATCGGTCATATCAAAGCCCATGGCGTTGCGACACTTTAAATTTACCGCCGATGTTTTAAAAATGGATCCAACTTTTTACAAGCAGGCTCACTGAATCTATGTGCCTCTATAACTTTCTTATTATTATTATAATTGACTAAAGATATGGCAGACAAGCTCTTCAGGGGGAAGATGGAATATTTCACCTCATTAAATATTATACTTAAGAATAAAGATGCTTATTTTCTTTTTGTATATAAATAACTATGACGTCCCAAAAATGACGCCAAAAAAAAAATTATTCAACAAAAATAACATCATAATATGTAGAATTGGTAGATAGTAAGTTAATAAAGCAACTTGAAATAGTTTTTATAATTTTATTTCATTAATTAAATTTAATAATGCACTTCGCACACCTGTTAATGTAATAGTAGGGACTAATAATTTTTCTGTCAAGTTATTTTTGAACGGGGTGTGTGTGAGGGGGGGGGCTCTCACACTCAACATTTATGAAACAAACTATCAAACAACTTAATAAGACCATATTATACCATATATTACATATATTAAAATAATAACTGAAGATAATGTAATTTTCAATTCAACTTTCTTATCTATTAAAATTATAAAATCACCGCTGGTATTTCTGCTTAACAAAGACGACATTAATCATGTAATGTAATTGTTAATAAATTAACACACATTTAATATGTTCAAGAATTTTGACTATTGAGCAGCTTTATAAAACTTGAAACATTTTGTTAAGTATAATTCTGTCTTGAATAAAATGAAAAGATTAAAAACTGAAAAATGTCTATATAGATAATGTAGCGTTTAACTTAAATCTGCTATTTACTGAAAACGATTATCTAAGGAATTTTAAAAATGTTTTATTTATTTATATTTATTTTTTAACCCTAACCTTTTCTCCCCAAATCATTTTAAGAATGGTTTTTAGGTCGGTTGATCGAAGGATTTTCAGTCAAAAATAAATAAACTTTTGTCTAAAAATTTGTATTTCGATAGTAAATATCCAATATCAATATCCCTGTCTCCGGTAAATTGGCATTAAAACAATCTTTACTTTATACATGATCTGTCAATGACTTTCAGCTCGAGATCTATTATGTTTTTCAATTTTTGGCCGGCCAGATATGTACCCTGGGGTCATGTGAGGCGCCACAAAAAAATGGGCCCGATCTTTTCAGCCGTTATGACGTAGTGGATACAAACAGACCTAACAAATCTTAATTTATATATTTCTTGGTTGTCAGAAGGGAGGGAGGGGGGGGGCACGGCATTCTCCTTTGAAATATATTTTTCTCCTAGGACACTTTTCTGATCTGAAGTATTAGACGTCTCTCAATTTATTTATACAGGGTGTCTCTGAAAAAGTGCGTTTGCCCTGAAAAGTGATCCTAGTAGGTATAATGCCCATAGAAGGGGATCGTCGATGTTAATTTTGCTCAAAAATGTCGTTTCAACCTTTAATAGTAGGACTAATTATCGAAAATGTGCTCTTTCTCAAAGACACTGTACATTTATCAATTCTAGTATTAGGGTAGATTTTAACTAGGTTTACAAATTTAGGAGATGAATGCTTGGGTTTCAGGACTCTGCCAGGCCTGTGGTCTAAGGTATTTTTTTCATTCATTCATTCATTCATTCTTTCCTACATCCTTTTTTTATTTACTTTTTCCTGGGTTTTGATAATTTTACGAAAATAAAAAGTTCTTGAAATTCTTGGAAACCATATTTCATGCAAACAAACAAACAAAAAAGACAGACAAGCAAAGTATTTTTATTGTAATAATAATTTATATTGTGTAGACCCTACCAGACCGAGGAGGAAGTAGAGGTTGTTGATAGTATGCTTCCTGGTGTCCCATCAGAGATATCCACTACACAGAGTGTCTCAAATATGCTGGGACAGACCAGTCCCAGGGAGGAGGAGACCAGTCCCACTCTCGGGGACATCAACGAGGAGAGGAATAGAGGTTCTCAAGCTCAGATATCCGGTCCATACATGCATCTTTCAGGTTGGTAGTTTAATCCATACATGTATCTTTCAGGTTGGTAGTCTAATCCATACAGGTTGGCAGTCCAGTCTATACATGCATCTTTCAGGTTTGTAGTCTAATCCATACATGCATCTTTCAGGTTGGTAGTCTAATCCATACAGGTTGGCAGTCCAGTCTATACATGCATCTTTCAGTTTGTAGTCTAATCCATACATGCATCTATCAGGTTGGTAGTCTAATCCATACATGTATCTTTCAGGTTGGTAGTCCAGTCTATACATGTATCTTTCAGGTTGGTAGTCCACTGTAAACATTCATCTTTCAGGTTGGTAGTCAGGTTGGTAGTCTAGTCCATACATGCATTTTTCAGGTTGGTAGTCCATTCTATATATGCATCTTTCAGGTTGGTAGTCCAGTCTATGCATGCATCTTTCAGATTGGTAGTCTAATCCATACATGTATCTTTCAGGTTGGTAGTCCAGTCTAAACATTCATCTTTCAGGTTGGTAGTCAGGTGTATACATGCATCTTTCAGGTTGGTAGTCAGGTTGGTAGTCTAGTCCATACATGCATCTTTCAGGTTGGCAGTCCATTCTATATATGCATCTTTCAGGTTGGTAGTCCAGTCTATACATGCATCTTTCAGGTTGGTAGTCTAATCCATACATGTATCTTTCAGGTTGGTAGTCCAGTCTAAACATTCATCTTTCATGTTGGTAGTCAGGTGTATACATGCATCTTTCAGGTTGGTAGTCAGGTTGGTAGTCTAGTACATACATGCATCTTTCAGGTTGAGTAGTCCATTCTATATATGCATCTTTCAGGTTGGTAGTCAGGTCTATACATGCATCTCAGGTTGGTAGTCAGGTCTATACAATCATCTTTCAGGTTGATAGTCACTAGTCAGGAAGGTACATGGGTTTTTGTTTACATATTTTAGATATAAGATTGAAGAATAGATTCCGGAATGATATAAAATGTATGTTTAGTGATTATAATAAAACTATATCCACCCTTAGCAAACAGTCCGTAACAAGTTTGTTTAGAGAAAAGGAAAACTTTAAAATGACAATAAATTATTTATGAAATAAAGTAACGAAGACGACTTTCTACCAAAAAAAAACTTTTAAATTTGTTAGAACTGCGAAATTTTCCCAATTTTTTTATTAAACCTTCTGATTCTGATTCTGATGTGATGTGATGTTTTCAACAAAGTAATTGATAAATAACAATCCGCACTAATATTTAATATAAGAATCACATTCTTACAAAATGTAACAATAAAATCTTTAACCTGAATTTCCCAATATGTCAGAAATTATTATTTTACTTTGTAACCTTTGTTTTATGAAAAGTTTTATAAAATGTTGTATATTATTCTAAACATATTTTCTAGAATGTTTTATAATATATTTTATAAAATGTTGTATATTCTTCTAAAACATATTTTCTAGAATGTTTTATAATATGTTTTATAAAATGTGTATATTATTCTAAAACATATTTTCTAGAATGTTTTACCGGTGGAGGGCCTCCTGCATCCCATATCAGGTAATTTAACCAATCAATCAATCATTAAATTGATTAATCGAACATTTTATTGATTAATTGAGCATTTTCTTAATCAATGATCAGATCAATAGTTTAATAGTAATGGAAATTTTTTAATAGATCGATCTATCAGTGAATTATTTAAGCGATCAACAAGTCAATTAATCAATAACTTTTATCAATAAAATTGTTCAATCAATCAATGGAACCACAAATCAAACTTTTGAGAAATTAATATTTTAGTTGATCAATAATTTTAGCTTGCAATCAATTTCTTAGTTAATCATATAATCAATCAATTACTTAATCAATTAATTAATCAATTTTTCATGTAATCGATCATCATACAACTATATGATAGATTTTCTGTAATTATTAAATCAAGGCGTATCTCTCTCTATTAACCAATGGTTAAAATCTGTTTTGTTAATATTCTTCATCTTATTTTATTCTAAAATGTAAACATAGCTTTTTCTTGAGTATATTGACATTTGTAAATTTTCAAACCAAGCTCAGACCACATTCTCTTGGTTTTAACGAATATTTCAATTATAATTTGAGGCAAATAGGTTAAGGGGTTTATGATTTATGATCGGACATGAAATTTAACAAACCAACAAAATTGGAAAGAGATCCAAAGGAGTTGAGTTTTTGCCATAAACTCCGATTTTTTATCCTTATATCTTTGCAACCCGATATCTTAGACCTTTGATATTTCAAATTATGAAGTCTGGTGGATCAAAAAGACTAAGTTTGAAATACCAAAGGTTTACACAAACAGGTTGCAAAGATGCATGAATTATGAAATTTGAGTTTGTTGCAAAAATTCAATTCCTTTAATACATACAAATTTTACAAACCAACAGATAGAAACGGTTGACTTTCTACCAGCTGTACACCAGAACATTGTCACTGATTTAGTATTGTCACGCCCCTAAAACTCTTATCTGATTTTAACTTAGTCAAATAAAATATTTATATTTGAAAATGTTTAGAAGTTCTTCAACTCATCAGCCTTCAATACATAGAAACCAATCTCAGTCTACGTACAGGTATTTTAAAATAAGGAGAAAAGAAAAGTATGTTTTGTGTAACCATATAAGTAGTGCAGTGCTTACCACTGTGATAGTGTAAATAGCTCGTGTTTTCTTTTGATTTATTTATTTGGATCAAATAATGTGTATAAATTGGAAATTTTGATTTTATAAATTGTTATTAAATTACAATTCAATGCATGGAAGTTAAAAAATTTTCTGCTATGATTTCAAAATCTATAGAAATGTGCGGTACAAGGCGCTGTGAATTAGGGTTGTCTTTCAGATTCAACCTTGATTGACTGTGATAAACAAGCATTTTTCGATGGTTTCCCAGGAGCCTTACATAGAAAACATCGGTTTTTAACTGGATGTGTTATTGGCCATTTTTATTATCATCTAAAATTTAAAATTAAAGATTTGTTTTTCAAACCATTGAGATGTTAACTTTTAAGGGCTTATTCAGCATCATGTTTTTAGATTTAGGATATAATGCTGGCATTTAAGGAATTAAACATATCTTCGTATTATTTTAACCTACGCTGTCGATTAAACGTGTTTTAGGGCCAAGGAGAAAGAATAATGAAAAATTGATTGATTTAATGATGAAAGTTTGGATCGTGGATTCGAGGATCCTTCCTTAGAAAATATTGATTAATTGATTGACTATTTAGGAGCGTGGATTTGGGGATATCAACCCCTGATCCTTCCTCAGTTTGCGGAGATGACAGTGTTTTCCTTCCAAACTCTCCACAGGGTAAATACGCTTTTTTAATCCCGTTTCCTAACTCCTCTTTTAATCCCGTTTTTTAATCCCATTTCATCACTCCGCTTTTAATACCGTTTCATCCCTCCGTGTGTAATCCCGTTTTATTACTCCTCTTTTAATCCCGTTTCATCTCTCCTCTTTTTAATCCCGTTTCATCTCTCTTTTAATCCCGTTTCCTCACTCCTCTTAATCCCTTTTTGTCAAACTTTGTGTTTTTCTCCTGGACACTTTTCAAACATTTTACCCAGTCCATTTTTTTCTATTTTTTTATCAGCGTTAAGGAAAAGGAATATCGAACCAAAATTTTTAGAATACTTAAAGATTAAAGTAGAATGTAATTACTAATACAGTGCTCACCGCCCACTTTCAATTAACAAAATGAATTCACTATTATTTTAAAAAATTTAAAAAAATTTTATCCATTGGTTTATCTAATCAAAATCATTTATGTATTTTTTTACATTTTTCCCTAAACTTTTCCGGGCAAATAGTGTTCATTGTTCAATGTACATTGTTACATAATAAAAAAAGCAAGCTGAAAATATATTCTTATTGAAAGTACCATTAAATTATTGTCAGTACACAAATCACAGAATTGCTATATTGTTTGTTTAAATTAATACGGAGCTAAGCTAAATTATTCCCCCCCCCCCCATACTCATATATATAATGGTTCTTCCTTTAATTTAAATTATATGATACAAACGGTTTTCAAATATTCAATTAGAATTTTGAAATTTTAATAATCTAGTTGCCCACCTGTCCTTAAACTTGAAATTTGGATTTACAACAGAAATTCGTTCTTAATTTTCGAGGGGGAAAGATCTTAAACTTTGTAAACGTTTAAAAAAACTTTTCACCTAAAAAGGAAAAGTTAAGCTTAAATATAACCAAATAACGCACGTTACTCTATTTTTATCATGTATATTTTAACTGTGCAGTAATGTATTGTATTATGCTGAACAGCTTTAGTAATTTTTAGGTTATTGCTGAAATTATTTTTTAAAACATATTAAACATATATTCCTTACAAAAGTACAAATGTTGAACTTTCAAAGAAAATATTCAAACTTTCATGAAGAAGTAAAAATTTTTGACAAAAAAAGATAATTTTTTTTTTATTTTTAAATTTTTCCAATTTTTGTGGGATTTAATAAAATGTGCTTAGAAATCTTAATTTTGGAAAATGTTCTTAATTTTGTTCCTAATTTTTGGCAATATTTGTTATAAAAATTTTATATTTAAGAACATTTTTGTATCACTTGAAACAGACGAGAGCTCAAGTATAATCTCAAAGATAAGGATTTAGAGTTGACTTCAAATATTATTATTATATTATTATTACTATTATTTATTTTTATATAGATCGTTTTTGATTTTTCCAGGGTTGAGGCCTAGTTTACAATCTGAAGATATATCCGACCAAATTGCTACGTTAAAGGTAACTTCGAAAAAAAGGTTAAAGTGGAATAAAATTGTGGAATAGGAAGATATATTTAGACTCTGGTTATGATTTAAATAGTCCATTAAGACATAAAAGTTAGCAACAAACAGTGTTTATTAAACACAGACACATTTCCATTTACAAGTTTTATTGCAAGCTACTATTAAAACTTTCCTTAAACATAAGATTGCTTAAACGTCGTCTCATCATGAATTTATACTCAGCTCTTCAATAAGTTAGTCCGTTAAAATTTAAATGGGAGGGAGCTTAAGCTAATTCCTTTAGAGGATAAGGATTTACTCCGATTATAATTATTTCTTTCGCGAGCTAATCAACCAGCTCAAAATATCAAGATACTCCTAGAGTTATCTGCTAAAGGTTGATTGGAACTTCTCATAAGCCTCAGACTCTCTCAACTCCAATCTACTTCTTTTAGATCTTTCTCTCAAGAGTAACGGTGCTTTGGTTCTGAGATACACGGTTCTATCGAAAAAAATTGTGATATCTCAAAAGCTAAAAATGCGATATTCTTCAAATAAGCTCAAAATCAGTTTAAACCATACATTCTCAAAGTACAAAGTGCGATATTCTTAAATGAACTCAGATACACAATGAAACCATATAAAAATCGTAAATGGTACCTTAATGTGCCTTTGGCAAATTCACAACTTGGTGTTAGTATATCAAATATCAATGTTTAACTGACAACTTGACAAGAACATATCACATATGCGCACAGTCATGGTTCTAACACAAAGTTTACAAATCAAAACTGGTTTCGTAGCTGAGGTACAGACTCGTACTCTTCTCCGCTTATGGGGATTCACAACTTTACTCCAGGGCATTCAGGGGCGAGGGAATACAGAACGTGACGAAAACGTCGCGTAACACTATTATTTCGCAATTTTATGGGTATCACTGTACATATTTGAAATCAATGTACCAAAGTTATAAAATCTACAAATTTTACAGTTATCAAAAATTTGGATATTATGTGTGTTGTTTATTTACAATAGGGAAACATTAATTTCATTAACCTTTTACTCTCGAACAGAGGTTTGTTTAACCTGAAACGATTATATGGGATATTAACGTGTTTTATCATGTTATTTAAGTTCAAGGAAACCTATTATAGAATATGTCAATCTTCTAAAGTAGGGTCGCCTAAAACCTGTCATAAGTTTTAATGTTTAATCGGAAAAAAAGAAAAACCAACGTAAACTGGTTTTTGCTCTTTTTCTTCCAACAATGTTTTATTTAAGTACTGTGATACATGAATTATAGAGGTTGGATCCAAAAATCTACTTTTATTTAATTTTGCTTGACCAGTTCTTAACCTAGCTTTTTTAATTCAGGTTGGACGACCTCCACCCTCCCGGCCTCCGAAACCATCCGGCCTCAGAAATCCTCCTCTGTCCTCACAGGTTTATTTTACTTTTTATCCTTAAATTATAATCATTTAATTTTTATCTGGTTTTATTTCTTTTTGTACCTCCGCTTTTATTTTAGATATATTTTTACGCCATTCTTAATCTGCTTTTCCTTTAACTATATTTTAATTTATGTAGAAAATAGGGTACCCACATTTCTTCTTTTTTAATCTTATTTATCATTATTTTATATCGGAACTATTTTACTTAAAAGGCATACGTTTTAAACCTCATTTTTCATTTTTTTAGCACTTTAACTTTTTTAACTTTTTGGCTGTGAAATTACGATTTTTATTTCATTTTCATTTTTTGGTAGCTCAACTTTTTGTTTTTTGTACTGTATTTTTATTTAAGGTTGCTGGAGAGAATTATGAGAACCTAGGAACTGCTCAGCATATACTCCAGCTAGCTGCTAACCAAAGGTTTGTCTTATATAACCACCAACAATCATTTTTTTGGACTAAGAAAATGTATCATCTTACAAGGGAGGGGGGAGGGGGGTCTAAACTGTAATTTTTATCTCCATTAAATACTTTTCTATAAAATATATGTTCTTAAAAATCATTTAAATTCATAAATGTTAGAATTCAGGAAAATTGGAAACACCATAATTGAGGTTATTTTATATTGGACTTAAATTCTCAAAAATGTTTTCTTCTTCTTTAAAAAGTATATAAAAATATTTTGTTTTATAATTTACCAATTTGTTTAAAATTATAATTTATTCTAACAGAAAACCTTGATTTATCATTGTTTAAATTTTCCAGTGATAGATATATATAAAAAGATATTGAATTATTATATCCATAAAAGACGCATGAAAAATAGGAAAGAACTACTCGAAAGAAATGAAATTTTCAAAAGATCCTATTCTTTAATCCTCTAATTTGAAGAATAATAATAAAATAAACGTTGATTATAGTTGCCTAGTACATAAAACGGTTGTTGCCAGGGTTATATATTTACAAGAAAAAGATAGAAAAGATTTACATCAATTGCAAGGTTTCCCAACTCTTTGATACTTTTTACCAAAAAATCACATATTCCCTCATACAAATCATTGGGGAAATTATAACGTAAATAGAATATCTTGTGAATAAAATCCCGAACATCAGGGGAAGGAGTGTTTCAAGAAAAGGTTGGTGGAAAAGATGATTTTGAAGAAATATGTATTCCTCTGTTGCTGAAAAAATTACTGACAAATTTATCAAATTAGTGAAAATTTTGAGTGATAATATTGAACTTTATACATTTTTTTACTTTTCATCTTTTCATTTTTTTATTTTTTAATGACAAAAGTTTTGTTGTCGTCCACAATATATCTCTATTATTAATGCCATCAATCTGGATCCGGATCCACTAAAATTCGGACCCGGATCCGAGTTAAAAGATATTAACCAACACAGCGTACGTCAAAATATTTTCCAAATCCTTGAAATCTATTTTGTAAAGCGCAAAGCATATTTACTCTCATTTATAAGGTCCATCGCAGTAACTTTAAACCTAGATGATTCTACCATTTGATCTCTAAACCCAAGTTAGAAAAACTTCACGCTCAAATATTACATGTTTACTAATGTATTAAGAGATTGGTGTTCACTTCACTTATCTCTTTTATCTGCGAAAAATAAGATAAATCTTTATTATTTTTTATTATTATTATTATTATTATTATTATTATTATTATTATTATAAATATTTATTTACACACAAAGATATAAAAACATATATAAATGGTGTAGGTTAAATTTGTTTAAATGATTTGAATATATAGTTTTACAATAGATAAAAGAAAAATATGCAAAAATATGAAATAGGCGACATTGATCATTACTCATTACATAACATTTATCATTTATCATTTATTACGTAATCATCGAATCCTTCAACATGCTTGTATTTAAAAGCTCTTGTAAAACCGGAACGTTCCATGCATGGTCCAATGGGACATCAAAATATTTTATTTGTTTCTTAACTAACATTTTATTAAGATCAGTGTCCGAATTTAATGAACTTGAGTCGTGTCTTAAATCCGCCTAAATCGGTTTAAATTAAGCGCATGCTTAAATCTTGACAAATCTAGTACAATGTTAAGTGAAAAAGCCGCGGCTTAAATATAAGCCGCAGCTCAAATTCTTTAAATTCGGCCTCAGAAAGATTTACAGAACAATTCATGAATCTGACTTATTTTACTAACAGAAGAAAACCAAGAAACTTCTAATGCAGACTTCTTACGTTATCCAGTAACCACTGTAATATCTACTAGACGCTTTCTTCGGTTCTTGGGGTAATCCAAAACTAAACTAAATTTTTTCTAACGAAATCTTGCAGTTTTCAGCGTTCAATAAACAATCTTACATTTCTAACATTGTTACTCAACGGCTTATGTTTATATTCAAAACCTTGAGAGTTGTAACATCCTAAAAGAATGTATTTTTTTAACCATTTTCAAAACATTTTTTTGGAATTATTTTTTAAGTTTTAAAATGCAATTCTAAAGTTTTTACATTTTGTATTTTATATATATATTCAAAATTTACTTCTTTGACAATGCATATTGCATAGCAATGAATAGAAAGAAATGCTATGATTTGATTAAACATAAACCCGAGTCCATTAAATATTTAATAGATGTTTGTCAAAGGATAATAGTTAGTTGATAAACCTATGCATAAAAATCAAATAAACCTCCAAACACATCTGTTCTGCTCGAGTACACTATCTATCTATCTTCACACTTTTATTTTTACTCAAATAATATTTTTCAGTAAAATGTTTAATTTTATTTTATTTATGTTAATTACTTTGTTCCGAGTTCCTACCTATAATTGTTTAATATGAATTAAACTTCAAATGCAATCTTTTTCTAATTTTTTGTAAGATCCTTTTTTTGACCTGAAAATTCATAGTTCGGAAATAAAAACCCTGTAAGAAATATATATATACATATTATTAATATATTTTTAGTATTTATACTGATGTTAATATTGAATATTTATCCTTTAATAGATAATACAGCTTATTTTAAATATAAATGAACATTTTACTACATATACAATGTTATTTAACTTTAAAAAGATAGTTGGTGCACATTTTATATTTTATAAATAAGATAGTATGTATGCAATGGGTAGGGAGGCGGGGGATGGGAGACAGAGGGAGTGGGGGGAGACGAAGAGAGGGAGGGGTTAAAGGGCATTATATATTAATTCGATTATTTCGGTATTATTGAAACTAAATATAGTTGAACCAAAGTTCTAGCAATGAACAGAAGGTATTTTTATTGTCTATTTCATACAGAATCCCAGCCTTCTTAAATTACATTTATGTGCATTGTTGTTGTTTTTTTTCGGTGAACATTGTGGCTTATTATGATAGAAAATGAGTCTTATGTTTAAAACTTAATACATACGAATAACAGAAATCAATCAAATTGCATATAGAGAAATTTTAACTTTTATGAAAAATATCATTTTTTAATCTCTTTTTATATTATTTGTGAATATGGTCAGGCCAATGTACACTTTCATCACACTGCACTGTGGCCGACTAATACTATTAACTTTTTATATATCTGCAAGCCTTTAAGATATTAAAAAAATACAACAAAAAAATATTTAAAGGCAACAAATTTTAAATTTAGCAACCTTCAACATTCCCAGGAGTCATGTTAAGTTATCTCAAACAAAATTTGGGCCTGATCGGGTCAGCCGTTTTGACGTTTATTGATACAAACAGACAAGCCAATCAAACAATCTGGTATTGAAAAAAGGACTTATTTAGTAGAAATATATCTGAAATGTATGATATTTCAAAATTCAACGAATTCGATAAGTGTATTATGTAGAAAGGTTAATTTTCAGCCCTGTTAAGTAGATAATATTTAACTAAATATTATTTCAATTTTAAATTTTAGAAATGGCGACGGAGATGGTTTGTTTTAAAGGAGGGAGGGATGCCTGGACAGTATGTACTCAATTACTACACTGATTCATCAGAAAGGTATTTTTTTAAGTTTGTCGACACTGTGATTACTTTTTTGATAATTTTAGCTTTGTATTGCAACTTCAATTTGAATTTCCATTTTTTCCCCTTTTTCCTGTGGTATACAAAAAACCTGTTTCTGTTTTCATTTTTTAAAAGAAATATATGGATGGACAATTTTTGTTCAGGAAACTAAAGGGGACTATAGATCTAGATCAGTGTATTCAGGTAAACCAAAATTTCTTTTTCTCGTCTCAAATTTAGAAATTTTTAGAAATTTTGTTAGAATTTCTATTCCATTAGTCTTTAAACGAACTTGAAGACGTAATTTCTACTGACCCCCTAATCTAAAAAGTAGTATGTCCGATTAACTATGATAATTATAATCCTTTAATGTAGTTGACATTTCTGTAGCATAAATTCACAAGTTAATTTTTACAGAGACCCCACGTAATAAATACCTTTAATGAACGGAGACACGTGACAATGATACAGCACTGCCATTGGTGGAAGTTCTGGTCATGTGATATGGACGTTATATTATTAATTTTATATATTAAAGAAAAATTATTAAATTCAAATTATAATAGGAGAAAACCTGAGTTTTTCCGGCTCCTCCGGGATATCATAATTCTCTGATTGGTTGCGTATTTGCTGAATATGATCTGTTTTAAACTTAGCTTATTTTACCGAATCTGATAAATCTAGTTTTTGGTCTAACTTTGACACAGTCTTATATCAATTTTTCGAGACAGAAACATAAGATAGAGCTCATATAGGTCTCTATCAACTCCTGAACTGCTCAGATTTCAACCTATACCACCTTTAATTAGTCCTTTACAGCCCCTTTAAATGGTACCATTGTGAATTGGTCATGTGACTTCATTAATGCAGGATCATTTATAATTACACAATACGCTTATAATCCCTTTCATAAAAAGGAAACTCCAATAAAATAATAAACTTTAGGTTGATAGTGGTCTAACCTACAACTGTGGGAAGCTTTCCTTGTTTAATCTGTTTAATATTACAACACAGAAGAGAATATTCTACCTATCCTCGGATACTGTACAGGTAATACAGGGGTAGATCATTTCTTGAAAATTTAATATGCTCTCTTGTCTAAAAGTGACATGTGTATACGTTGTTTAGTGGAATGTGCGTGTATTTATTGTTGTTGTTTTGTTGCATGTGCGTGTATTTATTGTTGTTGTTTTGTGGCATGTGCGTGTATTTATTGTTGTTGTTTTGTGGCATGTGCGTGTATTTATTGTTGTTGTTTTGTGGCATGTGCGTCTATTTGTTGTTGTTGTTTTGTGGCATGTGCGTGTATTTATTGTTGTTATTTTGTGGCATGTGCGTCTATTTGCTGTTGTTTCGTGGCATGTGCGTGTATTTATTGTTTTTATTTACTAGCATGTGCGTCTATTTATTGTTGTATGCATTTATGATATCGAGGTGTGTGTGTTTATGTGTGTGTTAGTAGGGGTGTGTTAGTATGTGTGTGTTTGTGTGTGTGTTTGAATGGAATACCTGTTGGAAGAAGAGTGTAGAGCGTATATTAAACACCGCATACTTTCACTCTCTCAGTTGACGGTGTGTCGTGATACCCTCCGCATCTCTGTTATATACTTTATACTGTTTATACCACACTACATCTTTATCACCAATTTATAATTAATTATTAAACCTATATTTCACAGGATACATTAAAATAAATAATTAAATATATAAATTTTAGAATAATGTCATCCTTCTTTACAAAGATCTTTGATTTTCTTAATTTCTTATCTTGTGGAATGTGTAGAACGGAACCTTTGATATTAAATGAGACTCTTTTAGTGGAATAATAATCATTAAAAAATTTTTTTAAATTCTAAAATTTTCAGCCCTTGTGATTTCGATTTTTTATTCAGTCTTAAACCCATTCTATTCTTTTAATTTCATCGTTCAATTCTTTATTCAGTGTTTCTTGACTCTTTTTTTTCAAACACAGAATTAAATTCCCTAATTCTAAATTTTGCTCTACATATTATGACAGACCTAGTTCTAAATTTTATGTGGTCTTGTGCTGGGGATTTTTTATGACAGATTTTAGTTCTAAATTGACAGATTCATATTCTAAATTGCAGATGTTAGATCCGAATTTACAGATTTGATTTCTTAACAGGCACATTTCAGTTGGCAGATTTTAATTCTATAATGGCATATGTTAGTTCTAAAATTACAGAATCCAGTTCTAAATGAAAACTAATTTATGATCTAATTTAAAGGTTTTAGTTCCAAATTAATGTTCTAAATTGACAAATTCTATATTCTACAGAGGCAGATTTTAGTTCCAAATTGGCTTATTTTAGCTCTAAAATGGCAGACTTCAGTTATGAATGGGCATTTTTACATTTTTAATCGATAAATTCTTATCTGGATATAAAGTATTTTATGAAATGAAATTGGGGCAAGTCCAAGATAAAATAAAGCCACCCCCTCCCCATAAATAAAAAGTTACACCCGCCCCTTGTTTTAAACTCGTAAACTTGATTTAACCTGACATGGGCGGATCCAACTACTTAGTTTAATCAGAATATTTTATTTGATAATGTAAAACCCTAATTTTAGAATATACAATATGAACTCAAGTAATATAATAATAAATTATTAATTTTGCAATAAAAATGGAGCTGGGTAAACGTAGGGAAGGATGGATAAATATTGGTTATTACTAGAGGACGGGTTAGAAAGGGTTGTGAATGTAAAGAAGGAATGGATAAATGTTAGAAGGGATGGGTGAAATGTAAGGAGGGATGGATAAATGGATAAATGTGATGAAAGAATGAATTTAAAAGGAAGATTTGAGTAAGATTGAGATTTAAGTTAATATTAGTTGGTTTTGGAGGGTTAAATTTAAAGAGGGTAAGGTGAAAATTATAAAGAGAAGAGGGGGGGGGGGTTAGATATTGAAACTAATGAATATTATATAAATGTAAATGAGGAAAGATGAAATGAACGGGGAAGGGTTTAACTGAAAAGTGATGTGAGTAGGTGACCAGATGAATAAAATATATATATACTAGGATTAGAAGTAGAGATAATGGCTGCTAGATCACGATATTTCAACATATCACAAGATTATTCATGCAAGCATCAAAATATGGCTTTAACCTGCTTAATATTATCTCCGGTATCCTCCGGCATTATTCCCTGTCTCTCATTTACCCTGTCTCCTTCATTATCTTCTGTATCCTCGGGTATTATCCCCTGTCTCTTTCATTTACCCTGTCTCCTTCATTATCTCCTGTACCCTCGGGCATTATTCCCTGTCTCTCATTTACCCTGTCTCCTTCATTATCTTCTGTATCCTCCGGTATTATCCCCTGTCTCTCTCATTATCTTCTGTATCCTCCGGCATTATCCCCTGTCTCTTTCATTTAACCTGTCTCCTTCATTATCTTCTGTATCCTCCGGCATTATTCCCTGTCTCTCATTTACCCTGTCTCCTTCATTATCTTCTGTATCCTCCGGCATTATCCCCTGTCTCTCTCATTTACCCTGTCTCCTTCAATATCTTTGTATCCTCCGGCATTATCCCCTGTCTCTTTCATTTACCCTGTCTCCTTCATTATCTTCTGTATCCTCCGGCATTATCCCCTGTCTCTCTCATTTACCCTGTCTCCTTCAATATCTTCTGTATCCTCCGGCATTATCCCCTGTCTTTTTCATTTACCTGTCTCCATTATCTTCTGTATCCTCCGGCATTATCCCCTGTCTCTTTCATTTATCCTGTCTCCTTCAATATCTCCTGTATCCTCCGGCGTTATCCCCTGTCTCCATCATTATCCCTGTTTCTTTTATTATCCCCAGTTTCCATCATTATTCATCTTCAATATGCATTTCTTAATTTTTCTGAAATAATGTTAATTGTTGACCATCAATTATCGATTGGATAATTAGAAACAGGGTCAAATAAAGGATAAAATGATATTATGATATTAACCGTTTTATGGTTTTATTTATTACTGACACTTCTCTTTCATGATCAATGAAATTGTCAACTCTGATTTGTTCAATCTGCGTAAAAATCAGTAATTAGGATCTGAATCCTTAGTTCTCTTGATCCGGATCCGCGAAAGTGTGCGGATTCAAGGGTCTGGATTGATTTGTAAACATTTCCTCAAAGACATCAAAAAAAAGTATGCTCTCAAAACACACATACAGTGTCACCAAATAATTATCATTAAACCTCCCTAATTATTCAAAGTTAAATCAAGATTCGGCATTAAAAAAAATAGCAAAAACTAAAAGAAAAAATTGGCTTTGGTAAAAAAATCAGTAAAACTTAAAAATATTCAATACCTGGATCCGGATCCATTTTTTACAGGACGGATCTAAGATCAGGATCCATTTTTCTACATGAGGAATCCAGGATGTGGGATCCTTGCCAAAATTAAATAGATCCTATTCTAAAATACCCTTTTGCTTTAAAGTATGTGGTGAAATGGCGCATTCTGAATCCAAAGACTATATATTGCTTTGTATTTTAAATAACTTAACAAATATTTCGATTTTATGTAGTATTACTATGGAGGTTTAAAATGGTGCTGTGTCACAAATAACCTTTAAATTATTGCTAAGACTTTTTCTTGAGTATGTCACTCACCCCCCCCCCCCATCTTAATCATAAAACCTGATGAATCCAAATGAGATGACCACCTTATACAAGAAATAATATTACAGGGGTATTCCAACTCTACTGGATCTGTAAAAAGCTTAGATGATTCCATTTTAACACCTTTGTCAAAGCAGTGAATGTATTTGTGAATTTAAAACCTGTTTATTTTAGAGAAAACAACAACAACAATCCGGATCCCTTAAAGAATATAAGTCTTCCACCCGCCCCAGTTCCCCCGCCGAAGATAGATCGGCGGTTGAAACCGTTTAATCGGCCTGGTTCAGGGGATAGTGCTACACTGCCTGCAGGTGAAATTTATTTATATTCGTTCAGATAATCAACATGAAATAAAGAAAATAAATAATGATTACTTGTATTTGTGGGTATCCCTCCCCCCCTCGTGTTCAATAAATAAACATATAGGGAAATTAATATCGTCAATCTTTGGACCACAGCGTTTCTGCGTTTGGCTTTACAAAATATGAGTAAAATAATTTTTAATAAAAAAGCAATTAATTATTTTTTAAACTAAAACATACAAAATTTGATTCTGAATACATGGAAAAATAAAAAAATCTGTTCTCCAGGTGGAATGATGAGCAGAAAGCCGTCTCAGTTTGATACTCTCCCCTGTATGGAAACTGGATACGGAATGCATATACCCTCAGCTCCAGGGTCAAAGTAGGATTATCAATATTTTTAAATAATTAATTAAGGGAGTGCTCACCAAAAAATAAGATAAATGGAACTGTACTCAAGTTACGATTCAAATAATCCAATTAACATTCAAAATAATTGTGCAGTGTACACAGATCCGTTATACGTAATACCTTGATATTCAATCTACTCGTTAAACTATTTGCTTTATGACAACATTAAATACACATAAATGAATAAATCAACCTTCATTACTGAAATTTAGCATTCCTTTTCCTATTCCATAGGATATTTCAGCAATCCCAATCATTTTCAGCAGAACACCCTTTAAACCTAAACTTAAAATTGTCAATGTAGTTTTACGCAAACGAGTCCTTTAACGATTCACATTCTTATCGGATTAACGGTGACAGAGATATGCTTTTCTTAATGTTTATTAGTTTTCTTATATTATTAAAATTACGTGAACTTATTTTCTAACTAAACAATTAAACGTGACCAATGGCAGATAAAGGATTAATGAAAGTTCTCTATTTTTTTGTACTAGAATATGATCAAATTTACTGTAGGTAGTGTTGTTAAAGTTTTTGGTTCTTTTTAATGTGTTAGGGTTTTTTAAAAGTTTCACAAAACTCAGAGATTGTTCAACACTATAAATACTATTGTATTCTGTAAAGATTTGTTTTTACTATATTATGTTCAGCATAATATAGTAAAAACAAAAAAGGTGAAAATGCAAAGTTCTAATAAAGTCAATGAAAAAATTATAGCCTTAAAACCTTAAAGTTAAATAAAAAATAACCATTGCCATAAATGTTAGGTACGGGAATATAGAGCGGAGTCCTAGTATAGAATCTTTATCCATTCAGTCCAGGAGAAACTCAGAAGAAGAGACGGTAAGATTGGATGTGTGAATAAAATCAAGAATCTTGATTTTAGTTTTAAGTACAATTTTTTAACAACGGGCCAAATAAATAATTGATCCAATTTTTAACAACTTTGAAGAAAATTTTTATATCTAACCTGAGGCCGAATTTAAAGAATTTTAGCCGCGGCTCAAATATGGTTGGTTCCACTTAAATTGTATTCAATTTTTCAAGTTTTAAGCCGCCGCTCAATTGAAACCGGTTTTTGGCAGATTTAAACCGCGGCTCAAATTCATTAAATTCGGACACGGAATTTATATTAAAAAACTAAACGTAGAAGCAGTCAAATGTAGAAATTTTTTCTAAATTCCTTAAATAATTTTTTTTTATTTAAAAAAACAAGTTTAAGTGTCCGTCCAATTATGCTTTATTGAGTGGCATTTCCAACACACAACGATGCCCTTGAACTATCTTTCTGATCTGAATCACCTTTGTCCGAATTTAATGAATTTAAGCCGCGTCTTAAAATTCGGTCTAATGATTCGTTAAATATGAGATTTAAAAAGTCGTCTTTACTTAGTCTTAAGAGATTATACAGTTTCGATGTTTAATTTCTTCTAATAAAAATGAGTTAAACCCTTTATTTGATATCTTCACGAACATGCACACAATACACACACAAGCTCCATCTTACACACTCTCATCACACATCATCATTTAAAAAGGTAGATTTGAGAAGGTTAAGATTTAGTTAAGATTAGATTAAACACAGAAGTTCAATCCTTATCCTCTCCTTATATCTTTTATCCTTTACACCCTCATCCTATCCTAATTTCTCCTTAGTTTATCTTTATTCTTTATCCCTTGTTGGTTCATCCTTTCAAATATTTCCCCTATTTTTCTCCTTCTATCCTAATTCTTCACTCTACACTTTACACTCTGCACTCTACACTCTGCACTCTACACTCTACACTCTACACTCTACACTCTACACTCTACACTCTACACTCTACACTCTACACTCTACACTCTACACTCTACACTCTACACTCTACACTCTACACTCTACACTCTACACTCTACACTCTACACTCTACACTCTACACTCTACACTCTACACTCTACACTCTACACTCTACACTCTACACTCTACACTCTACACTCTACACTATACACTCTACATTCTACACTCTACAATCTACACTCTACACTCTACTCTCTACTCTCTACACTCTACACTATACACTCTACACTCTACACTCTACACTTTACACTTTACACTCTACACTACACTCTCACAATTTAACAAAATAAAAACAGCAAAAGTTCAAGCAAAATAATATTCAAAAATATTTTATTTATTATTTATTATTTTAAAAAAATACCTAAATACAAGCTGCAAGACCATAGCTCATTCTTGATCTAGTAATTCCATCAATTGAGTTCGATGTATGAGTGGTAGGACTTCCCCAACACTCTGATTGATTGATTGATATTTTGTTTAGATTTATTACTATATGCCCTCCCTCCAGCACAGTAATAATGACGGTATGTGGGATCCATCGCATCCGATCATGATTCCGGCTCAGGTACGATGATCCACAATATTTGGGGTTCGTGGATCGAGACCCCCTTTTTTCACAATATTAGGTATCCCTGGATTCGGATCTTTTTGATCCACAATATTAGGGATCCCTGTATCCGGATCACTTTTATCCGCAATATTTGGGATCCCTGGATCCGGATCCCTTTTATCCGCAATGTTTGTGATCCCTGGATCCGGATCCTTTATATCCGCAATATTTGGGATCCACGATCTGTCATTGGTCAATCAAAATGTATGCAAAAAATCAGCGAAATTTAAGAACCAATTCACTACTTTTGTTGACAGAAAGAATTCTTCTGTAATCCGAAATCCATTAAAATCTGATTCAGTGCACGTGGTGTATTCTCCTTTTTAAACAAAATGTTTTGTTTTTCTTTATATTTTCGCTGTATTGTATTGTATTGTTATTTCCGATAATCAAATAGTTTTTTGAAGAGCAGAAAATTTTCTTTTAATTAAAAATATTTTGGAAAAATAGAATTGTTGGAGAGCAATATTGAAATACTTCATTCTTTATCTTGTTTTTCCTACTCTAAAAACTAACACTCATAATCCTAAATCGCATTAGTGTATTTAAAAAATCTTGGTATTAAGGAAGAGGAGGATAATGAAATTTAAATTTAAGTTGGTATTATTGAAATATACAAAATTATATCAAAGTATTTTATTAAGTAAGTAAGTAATTTATTAAGTATAACCAAAAGAATGTTTGAGTAGGTTTTTAACATAACTTTAGAAGAGTCCCCCCCCCCCTTATTTGCGTAATGACATATCTAACCTAAACTAAGGTTTTCACGTCAAACCTTTTAGATTCCTGGATCCGAGGGCCTAAACATCAACCATTAAATGACACATTTTCAGGGTTACCTAATGAGAAATTAATCAATCCTTGTAAAAAAAAATATGAAGAATCTAGTTTCTAAGATAAGAATTAGCGAAAAAAGAAGAAAATAATAATTTTAAATTTTTTTGGGGGGGGAAGGCAATATCTTTTATATATTCAAGAACTGAATCCGGATCCGTGTTTCCAAAGGACGGGGCCAGGATCACGGATCCAGTATTCGGATCTAATACTCGGGTTTGGATCCATGATCACAGATCCACAACTCTGATCCATGATTGAGGATCCATTTATCATCGGGATCCAGTACTAGGATTCGAATCCATGATCACAGATCCATAATTCGCATCCAGTATTCGGATCATTGATCACGGATCCATGATTGCGGATCCAGTATTTGTATTTATTATCACGGATCCAATACTAGGATTCGGATCCATGATCACAGATCCAGTACTCTGATCCAGTATTCAGATCATTGATCAAGGATCCATGATTACGGATCCAGAATTTAAATCTATGATCACGGATCCAGTATCTATGATTACGGATTCATTATTTGGATCCATGATCACGGATCCAGTATTCGGATCCATTATCATGGATTCAGTATTCGATCCAGTATTAGGATCCAGTACTCATATTCGGATCCGCATCCGTATAAAGATTAAATGGATCATAAGCACTGATTGAAATTACCTGATATTTTTAGGACATGCATGGGCATAGCGTAGAGTATCTAGACCTTGATCTACCCAGAGGGAATCAAGAACCTTCAGACGATGCTAAACAAACAAAGTAATAAAGTTTATTTATCAATAAAGGATGTTGGAGAAAAAAAAACACTTCACACTTTTTTCAGTTCCATCCCCTAGGAAAACAGAGCATTTATTCAGAGCAGGGTTGACCAAATCCGTTAAAGTTTTAACCATGAAGTCCTAACATCCTATTTATTTCATCATTATCGGCCTATACAGAGAAAAAAATGTAAAATATTTTTGATTTGTTCAACATCCTTTATTTTAAACCAACATTTTCAAGTTTTGTTTCACTATTCTTCACTAGTAACAAAGATATATTACACAAGAGCCCTAAAATCTTTCAAAAATAGAATAATGCCATTTCTGCATGGTAGGAATATAAACAAGCTTAATGCTGCTCAGACTAATTTTGTTAATATTCCTCCTAAAAACTGCAGTACAAATATTCCTCCCATAAACTGCAATACAAATATTCCTCCTAAAAACTGCAGTACAAATATTCCTCCTAAAAATTGCAGTACAAATATTCCTCCCAGAAACTGCAGTACAAATATTCCTCCTAGAAACTGCAGTACAAATATTCCTCCTAGAAACTGCAGTACAAATATTCCTCCCAGAAACTGCAGTACATTATGTGTACAAAGATATCGAGGTTCCATGGGAGGTACAGGGTGTACCACGAAACATGACAGTTGGTGAATAGTTGTCTTTTTCCATTATTTGTTCAGTTGTTAGATACCAAAAATCATAGAAATATAATATGGGAGTCATTTTATATTAAAATTGATTTCAAAGTAAAATATAATTAAGCAAAAGATTTGTTAAACTAAAAATAACTATTTATTAAATGTTATGTTTCGTGAGACACCCTGTACCAACAATTTCTTATTTTTTATTGTTTTCAGGCATGAGGACAGCTCAACTGTTTATAAAACTGTAGATTTTGTTAAAACTGAAGCGTTCAACAGAACTAAGAAAAACGTGGAACAGAAACGATACAATATACATCAGTGAATCATTCAAAACATAATTAATTTACATGTGACGCAGTGTACAGACGTTTCTAGCATGTGACGCTGTTACGCTCAGTATTAAACCTAAAAGCAAGACAAAGTTGACGCATTTTTATCAGTCCCCTGTTATTCTTAAACCTCAAGATTATTTACATTTATACTTCTTTGTGGCGAATACGCTTTTTTTAAACGTGGCTAACATTTTCCTTCAAATGAAGTTGAACAAATTATTTTTGGTTTAATTAATTGTTTATCTCTGTACTGTACATTATACATTATACAGGCATGTTGTATATTAAAAAGTCTTCCTGTTATATATTTTTGTAAATCTGTTATTTATCAATTTTACAAACTTGTCTTTAACTTGATTCGTATATTAAGATTGTAAACCCTAAATGTAATAAAAATTTCTATATCCCAACCTCTAATCTATATATAAATTTGGCTTGTTTGTCTGTTTGTCTATCTGTTTGTATCCAATAAACGTCAAAACGGCTGAACCGATCGGGCCCAAATTTGTTGTGGGACATCTAGGGACCCCAGGGAAGGTTTATGAATGATTGAAATTTCAAATATTTGTCTCCATCAAAATTCGATCGTCATTAAATTTTTGAAAATTTTAAAAATCCGCGAAATTTTTTGTGAAAATCCGCGAATTATTTTTGTTTTGTTTTACGATGTATACAAAGAGAACATGTTCACAATTAATTTAGAAGATGGGCGCGAAGCGCCCTCTAAGGCTAGTAGTATAAATTTCTGTTGATGACGTTAAGATAAATTGTTGATAATTGGCTTGAATTTACAATTCAGATGTATTCCACTAGAAAAATGAAAACTATGGTTTAACTGTGGAGTAAAGTTTAAAGAAAAGATTTGTTCAGTGTACTTGAGAGGTTGAATTCGACTATTAAACTCTAAAATGTGACCCATAAGTTTCTGCAAGCAACTTTAGTTTAAAAAATTCCGGTTTTCTTGGATCAGCAAATACACTAAGAACGCTGTTTTTACTATTTTATCTTATTCGCAAAATTTTGTCTTCTAATGATATTATTGATAAATGTATGAATTGTCGAGAAAAATCGCTATTCGTTAAAAATGTTTGCATATACTTCTTGGTCGCGCTAAAGATCGTAAATGTTCTTAATATTCAGCAATGCACGTCTTTTAATGGTTTTTAAGAAAAAGAATAAGTCGATTGGACCCAGACAGTAGACACTAGGCAGTCCATGTCTTAGCCCATGAAGAGCTTTTATCTTGCAAAACAGCATTCGAGAATCTCATTTCAGTGCTTTATTAGGATTCCTGTTTGTGAATTTCAACTTAATTATCAATATTGCTTTAAAAAGCCTGTTTTTGTAAATAAAAAATATGAATATTAACCATGAACTTTTCTGCTGTACAATGACAAGATATTAGAAAGATAACTTCCACTTTAAAATAATTTTGATTAAATTCATAAATTTAAATATTATTAAACCACTTATTTTCTAAACTAAATTATATATATAAAGAATTATTCACATTCAAAGATATGAATACATATATAAATGGTGTAGTGTAAATTTGTTTAAATAATTTGAATATATAGTTCTACAAAAGAAATAAAAAAATATGCAAAATTCTGCACAAATAGGCGTCATTGATCATTACTCCTTACATAACATATTTATCATTTCAGTTATTACGTAATGGGACATCAAAATATTTCATTTGTTCCTTAACTAACAATTTACTAGGATCAGAAAGATTTAATCTGTTTATCAATTCCCATACCCCCACTATCATAACTAGTTAAGCACAAAGTACTAGCTGCATCCATCATTGTACTGCTGTTGCACCACCCACCAGTAGCATTTTTCTTCTCTACACTCTTGGTTCCATTTCGATCAGAATCTGATACTCTTGTGGTTCCATTTCTATCAGAATACCGCTTCCGATAATGGATAACTTCACGCACACGAACTCCCAGTGGGATCCAAGGCTTTCTCAAGATCTTCAGCTGGAACAGAGATATTAAAGCTAATAACATTTGATGTTTCATTTGGTTTAGACATCTGCACAATATCGCCAACTGTTATCTTAATATCAGCTTCTTCTAAGTCATCCACAATATCCTGTTCAGTGTTACCTTCAGGAATACCATAACAGAAAATGTCAGCCGGAGGGGATTTAATTTTTCTAATTTTCTCTTGAGTTCTGGTACCAGAGACCGCTTCCCTACATTCCTCCTTTTGTTTTGAGAGTTTATCTTAAGATGAATAATTTATTCGTTAGTTTCTAACTTACAATAACATTGGGTTAAATTGATTTTAATTAACTAGACTCTTAAAATAATGGAATTATTCATGAAGATTAATTGATGCACAATATTTAGCAGTTTAGATATATTTAGTATAGAACCTACTCCCATCCATAGACAAATGTATACAAAGTACCTTGGGAATCCAGCTTTACCTGGAAACTAAACTTTCGCTGTGAAAGTCAACCTGCTTAACTAAACCAAGCTCAGAACATTTTTGTGGTTCAACCAAGTTCCACATTTTAAACTTAAAGCAAATTTGACAAGAATGCGACCTGAATCTCTGAGAAATAACAATCTAAATATTTACTAAGGTGTTCTTGCCTTACATTTACCCTTTTATTAGTTCATCAATTTAGCTGGCAAAAAAAAGAAACTAAAGTATTGGCTGAAAGTAACCACCATCATTCTTCTGTCTGTATCCATCTAAATCAACATCTATACCCCCATTTTGTCTGTATCCATCTAAATCAACATCTATACATCCATTTTGTCTGTATCCATCCAAATCAACATCTATACATCCATTTTGTCTGTATCCATCTAAATCAACATCTATACATCCATTTTGTCTGTATCCATCTAAATAAACATTCATCCATCCATCCTGTCTGTATCTCCAACAATCAAATATTCAATTTTTGTCATAATTAATACACACTTAACATTCTACCGGCTACAACTACAAGAATGTCAACGTGAAACTTCCATTTATCAAAAAATTAAGAATTTACTGCCATTGATTCTATTCAAAACATCAATTTAATCCAAAACGATAGAAATTTTGAAATTTTTTATTGTTTGGATTAAATTTCTGACAAACCAATTCTCTTGAAAAACGATAAAATATTTTTAAATTCTAACTTAAAAATGCATTTTTGTGCAGTTAAGGTTTTGTGAATATTTAGTTCTCAGAAACCTAATTCAGTGTAATGTAACATAATTCTGTGACGTTCTGTAAGGTAAAAATAAACCTACAAGTAACGTTACAAAAACGACGTTTGTTAACATTACAAAATGTTGTTATTCAACATTAAAAACCAACGTTTTTTAACATTAAGAACCAAAGTTCTTTAATATTAAAAACCAATATTATTTACAACGTAATTTAACATATTATTTAACATAATCAAAGTTACATTTAGAAATTTTAAACGTTCTGTAACATTACTATTGTAAGTAACATTAGGTAACTTTACTATGACGTTATGATTTAAGATTAGTAACATTACTTGGTTTGCAGGGTGTGTATAGTAAGGCTGATTAAGATCTTTACAGATGTCAATAAAGTCTCATTCTTTGTAGGTAACCCTGAAGCTTGGGAAACCGCTTTGCCTGGAAACTGAACTTTGTCATAAAAAGTAATATTAATTTGAGGCAAATCGGTCAATAGATTTTATGAGTTATGACAAACAGACAATTTTGTAAGATACTAGCCTTAGAGGGCGCTTCGCGCCCATCTTCTAAATTAATTGTGAACATGTTCTCTTTGTGTACATCGTAAAACAAAACAAAAGTAATTCGCGGATTTTCACAAAAAATTTCGCGGATTTTCAAAATTTTCAAAATTTAATGACGATCGAATTTTGATGGAGACAAATATTTAAAATTTCAATCATTCATAAACCTTCCCTGGGGTCCCTATAGATGTCCCACAAAAAATTTGGGCCCGATCGGTTCAGCCGTTTTGACGTTTATTGGATACAAACAGACAGACAAGCCAAATTTATATATAGATATTGATTGGAGTTTTTTATTCCTCTCATCTTCCATGTCTTATCAAAGCTGATTTAGCAAAGGCTGGATTCTTTATTTTCCATCTCCCCCCCCCCCCAGCAGTTCAGAGAACTTGTTGGTTCTGATCTAAATAATCTTAACGAGTGCAGCTGCCATGATTTGGTTATGATACTTAACTCTTTATCATTTATTGCCCGTTCTTCTTAATAACAATTCTAAAAATTGTGAGTAAAGAGGAATTTTATTATGTATTATTTGTGTTATTAAATTAATTCAATTTATTGTTTTGATTGGATTGGATTTAAAAAGTGAGGTTTTTGTTACAACTGTTCTAAACGAATCTGGCATCTGAAGGGATAGATTGATCATATTTCCAATGCAGAACTGTACTCCAAGAGCTATGTAATAAATACAGCAAACCCCATATTTGTTAACCTGAACATAACTAGATATATTAAACATAAGCTACGGAACATGATTAAAACATGCATTGTGATTAGATTAACTACGTTTATATCTATCCATGTTAATCCTTTAAATACGTACATTCAACTTAAACTTGAATGAAAACATGTGCGGAGATACGTACATAAGACTTAAACTACGCTGTATATAAAACTTGTAATTACGTTGATTCATGTTAACTTAGCTGAAAACTTTAGACTGGGATATCCCTAATCCCGATCTGTTAATTAATCCGGAGATTAATAACAAAAGCAGAACAAGCATTAATCTCGATATTCACCAGCTCTTGTAACATAAGATATCTAAAATAAATTAGTTAATATAGAGACTATGCTTTGATTACAGTGTTGAGAGTAATTTGGTTTTCTTTAAAACATATGAGTTGAGATTGTGCCTTGAGATTTGGCATTGATTGATTACTTGCTAGTATCCGTGTTGACGTTGATTGCTAACGATATCTCGCCCAGAGAGAGTGGTGTTGATAGTTTACGGGATTGTAGCCCTGTGGAACTTATCCTGGTTGAGGCTTGATCAATTAATTGCTAGTGTCTGATAGCTAACGAGATCACACTTAAACTAGAATGAAAACATGTGTGGAGATAGCTTAACTACATTATATATATATATCCTTGTTAATCTTATAAATACGTACATTAGACTTAAACTACGCAGGCATTGATCAATTAATTGCTAGTGTCCGTGTTGACACTGATAGCTAACGAGATCGCGCCTTAGTGATAGTGGTGTTGATAGTTCATGGGATTGTAGCCATGTGGATCGTGTTCTGGTTGATATTCTTAGTGGACTGATTGTACCTGGACTGATTCAGTTCTGGACAAAGTAACAAGAGAACGGCAATAATATCTATATATATATACATTGTTTTCTGTTTGTTTGGGTGTTTGTATCGAATAAACGACTGAACCGAAAATCCACGATTTTTTTTATAAAATCTGAACCTTTTTTGTTTTTGTTTTACAATGTATACAAAAAGAAATTACTCACAACTGAAATAGAAGGTGGGCGAGAAGCTCCCTACAAGCCCAGTATATATATTCTTTGCTTGGGTGTCTGTTTGTCTGTTTGTATCCAATAAACGTCAAAAAGGCTGAACCGTTTCGGGCCCAAATTTTGTGTGGGACCTTACATGACCCCAGTAAAGGTTTATGAATGATCAAAATTTCAAAATTTAGCCTCCCAACATTAAATTTTAAAAATCCCTGAATAATTTTTTAGAAAATTCGTAAATATTTTTTATTACAATGAAAAAATGTTCAATTTATTCAAAGAGAAAATGTTCAATTGATATGGAAGTGTGCGCGAGCGCCCTAAAAACTTAGTAGTATACGAGTGGGTTAAAATCATTTCAGACGTTCGAGAACGTTCAATTTTCAAACTTTTAATTCGACGTGACTAAATCAAGTCTTTCTACATTTTTACGAATCAACTTGGTTATAAAGGCGTTAAATACAGGGTGTCCCACGAAACATGACAGTTGATAAATAGTTTTGAATGTCGTCTTCCATACACTGTATTAGATATTAAAGGCTGTTTGCAGTTTATTTCGTTTAAAAAATCTTTTGCTCTGGTATATTTTACTTTGAAATTAATGTTACTACTAAATAATATTTTTATTATTGTCTTTCGTATTAAAAAACTTATCAAATTATGGAAGAAGACATTCTAAACTATTTATACCAACTGTCATGTTTCGTGGGATCCGTGGGTCACCCTGTAGTTATTTAAAAGGTGGACAAAGCTTCCAATATTTTTAGTTTTAATTATTGAAGCAAAGATTCGTTTAAAGTTTTGAAATTAAAAATTAAACGAAAAACTTTCGTTTTCTTAATTTTGTTAACTGTGTCCAATACACTTGAATGGTTAGTTCAGAGCCCGAAATTTAAAAGAGTATTGTTGAACGAAACTATCGAGTTTTACTTTTTGGGGTCTTAACATTTGTCTAGATTTTGATTTAAGAGATTCGAAAAAATGGGGAATATGAAGAAAAATAAATCGAACAATATTTCACACTATATTCTGTCAATTGTGACAGATATGACAGTTTATTAAATAAAGCCTTTAACATAATCAAAGTCAAACCTCATGATCGTCATTTTTTAACAGTTTTACGTTGTCATTTAAGTTTCAACCTTTTTTCTGTATCTCTGTAAGTGAAAAATATAAGTGTATCCCTGTATCCCTGTAAGTGAATAATATAATTGTATCCCTGTATCCCTGTAAATGAAAAATATAATTGTATCCCTGTATCCCTGTAAATGAATAATATAAGTGTATCCCTGTAAGTGAACAATATAAGTGTATCCCTGTAAGTGAATAGTATAAGTGTATCCCTGTAATTGAATAATGTAAGTGTATCCCTGTATTCCTGTAAGTGAATAATATAAGTGTATCCCTGTATCCCTGTAAGTGAATAATATAAGTGTATCCCTGTTAGTGAATAATGTAAGTGTATCCCTTTAAGTGAATAATATAAGTGTATCCCTGTAAGTGAATAATATATGTGTATCCCTGTATCCCTGAAAGTGAATAATATAAGTGTATCCCTGTAAGTGAATAATATAAGTGTATCCCTGTAAGTGAATAATGTTATCCCTGTAAGTGAATAATGTGAGTGTATCCCTTTAAGTGAATAATATAAGTGTATCCCTGTAAGTGAATAATGTAAGTGTATCCCTGTAAGTGAATAATATATGTGTATCCCTGTATCCCTGTAAGTAAATAATATAATTGTATCCCTGTATCCCTGTAAGTGAATAATATAAGTGTATCCCTGTATCCCTGTAAGTGAATAATATAAGTGTATCCCTGTAAGGGAACAATATAAGTGTATCCCTGTAAGTGAATAATGTAAGTGTATCCCTGTAAGTGAATAGTATAAATGTATCCCTGTAAGTGAATAATGTAAGTGTATCCCTGTATTCCTGTAAGTGAATAATATAAGTGTATCCCTGTATCCCTGTAAGTGAATAATATAAGTGTATCCTTGTTAGTGAATAATGTAAGTGTATCCCTTTAAGTGAATAATATAAGTGTATCCCTGTAAGTGAATAATATATGTGTATCCCTGTATCCCTGTAAGTGAAAAATGTAAGTGTATCCCTGTATCCTGTAAGTGAATAATGTAAGTGTATCCCTGTATCCCTGTAAGTGAATAATGTAAGTGTATCCCTGTATCCTGTAAGTGAATAATGTAAGTGTATCCCTGTATCCCTGTAAGTGAATAATGTAAGTGTATCCCTGTATCCCTGTAAGTGAATAATATAAGTGTATCCCTGTATCCCTGTAAGTGAATAATATTTACGAATAGGTCAGCTGTGTCGGTCAGTTGATGGAGATAGTTTCTGAATTTGGCAGGACAGCTTGATTTTTTAACTCTTGAAAATGTAAGGTAATTAATTCTTTGATTATAGGTTCGGTCTTACTAGGGTTAATGTTGAAGTGGGGGAGATGGATACTTCTAATAAATTGAATAGATTAATTATTAATTTGCAAATCATTTGCAAATATATCAAAAATTCTAAAACCTCTCATCCATGGTATTTCCCAAAACTGGAAAATAATGTTATTTTTTACAAAACAGATAAAGGGTAACTTTAAAATGTGCAAAAAGAAAAAAATATGTTCATTTCCTTCTTTTCTTTGCTCTGGTCAAAAAAATCTGTTTATACCTTTAAAGTTTGGTAAAGCATTCCCACTTTTAAAGGGCTTTTTAAAAATTTAAATTTTTGGCTTTTTGGCTGAAATATTTTTTTTTAAATTATTGACCGTCTTTTTTTCACCGGGTTTTCAAAAGACTTTAATTTGCTTTACCCTATTCCAGNCTATTCGTTATATAGAATTTAGTTGTTTTGATAATAACATTTGATATATTTTTGAAAAGCCCTTGGGCTCTACTTCAATAATCTTAAGAAAAAATTGCAAATTTGAAAAAATCTTACTATTTAGTGCGAAATCTAGTTATTAAGCAAAATGTGAATAAAACAAAAATTGCGCAAAATATGGCAAATGATACATTTTTGAAAACCCCTTGACCGGCCCGGCGAGTTCAAATATGCAAAAATATTTGCAAAATTTGCGAAGACTAACTAAAAGGCGTCTGTGCAAAAATCTACGCAAAATTTCTTTGCAGACATTGTGCAATCTAATTTCTTTGTGTTAAAGGCTTTCCAAAGAGCTATAAAATGTTGAAATCCTATTACTGGAAGTACGTCTAGATTTATATTTAGTCTGTTTAAGGCGTGTAGACATTTTAACAGATCAATACTTTTTGAGTTATCGCAAAAAAAAAACTATACGGGGGGTCACCGTGACCCACCCTCAGTCGGAATAGGGTTAAACATGTTTTTTATGGATACAGCAAAACTATTTACTGCAACATGATGCAGAATGCCTAATACCTAAAACAACGCACGAAGTGAATAAAAAACATTTGAACAAATAATCACCCCTTTTCGGGAGTTTAGAGATCATCCTTAAAAACTTAAAGCTGTTATGTCCATCACTGTATCCCTGTAAGTGAATAATATAATTGTATCCCTGTATCCCTGTAAGTGAATAATATAATTGTATCCCTGTATCCCTGTAAGTGAATAATATAAGTGTATCCCTGTAAGTGAATAATGTAAGTGTATCCCTGTATCCTATAAGTATCCGTGGGTCACCCTGTAGTTATTTAAAAGGTGAAATAAACATAGATAGCTTATGTACGCAAAATCACCAAGAATTGTACAGTCCGCGAACTCATACTTCTAGGGGTCAAAGTGTAATTCAATGATAAGCGGGGTGGTTTGGTGTTTTAATGGATTTCATATAATAGAGTGTAAAACAACTCCGGGAATGGAACTATTTGGACAACAACATTTCACTGAGCAGTATATCATTTTGACGAGAAATGAAGGACATGAGAAGGACTAAACTAATTTAAATTTCTCTCTACAGAACTCATGTACACCACAAGTACTCAATGACATAAGAACAGCCAATGTTCACAACCGACCTAGGTAATCTATATAATAGGAATATCTTTAAAACGTCTCTGTACATTTATATCTTTCAAGATGAAAAATGTCGTCTTATGCGCAATCTATCTTTATCTATGGTAGTTATCTATTGTTATTTATGTAGAAAAGATCAAATATGGAAGACTAAGACTACATTACATATATACTTTGTACTCTAGCCTCAAAGAATGAGACTCACATACAGGGTGTCTCACGAAACATGACAGTTGGTGAATAGTTTGAAATATCTTCTTCTATGATTTTCAAGTTGTTTGATACTAAAGAGACTAATGAAAAATAGAATATGACAGTCGTATTATAGTAAAATTGATTTCTTAGCAAAATATATTTTAGTAAAAGACTTTTTAACGAAATAAACTTCACTAAAAGTCTTCAATATCTAATATAATATATGGAAGAAGACATTCACAACTATTCAACAAATGTCATGTTTCGTGGGACACCCTGTACTATTTTAAAGAGTTTTGGGTCGTCATTTAAGTCTTATTCTTTGTGGGCAGTCCTGTATTAAATATTTTAAAATATCGAAATCTTTAGTTAACTATTGCCAGCTGCAATATGAAATGTAATGTTTAAGGAAAATCATCAACTAATTTTCCCCCATTTTCTTCTTGCAAAATACTCCCAGTCGATCTTAAAGACTGTATAGAAGTAAGCGCCCTCTAGGTATTTCTGTACAAACAAGATTGGGATTTTTAAATTTGAAAATAAAAATAAAAAATTAAGCCAAACCCGTATTTGTTGTACTTGCAGTACTTAAATTAACAGATAAAAGATGTAAAATGTTGAAAAATCAAAATTGCTAACTAGACTCGATTTGTCTCACTTTCTGCCATTTTTTTCTTATGAAAAATGTCCAGTCCATTTGAAAAGTTCCGTACATAATATGATCATAGTCGCCGTTTCTGAACCTCTGGAAACATCAAAGATTTGGACTTCCTTGTTATCATGAGTTTACAAATAAAAAACAATAAAGGATTGAAGAATTGTAGAAAAATACGAAAATTCCAATCTTATTCCTTTGATGCATGTAACGACGGGTCTCCCAGGTTTCCACAATCCTTAGGAGTCGGACCACACCCGTTCAAATGTATAATCTGAAGGGAAAAAAGGTATTTTATAAAATAGACAATTAACTTTTGAAAAAAAAAATACTTGGAAATTTGTTTGATTTTTCAAATTTGAGCTCATCAGTATAAAAAAAAAATGGAAAAGTAATGATCTTCTGATAAAGTTTATAACAAAAACCTTTTTTTATTTTTTCCCCCTATTCGTTATATAGAATTTAGTTGTTTTGATAAGTTAATCGAGCTGTTTTTCAATTTCATGAACGTGAAAATCATTTTATCTATTAAATTTGAAGTTAATATTTCTTTAATAATTAAATTAAATAATAATATTTTTGACATTTTAAATACTTTCAATTTTTGAAAAATCATTTCTTAAATCATAAAAAACAAAAAGTACAGCAAACAGAGCTGGGAACTTTAGAATTGGATACTTTTAATCCCGATCGGTATATCTGAATATCCAATGTGGACACTTTTAATTTCCTGCTTAATCCGCTTTCTTTCTCTCTTTTATAATTTATATTTTACCAGTGGCCGAATTTAAAGAATTTGAGCGGCGGTTTAAATTTAAGTCGCGGCTTAAATATGGTTGGTTCCACTTAAAATTGTATCAAATGTTTCAAGATTTAAACCGGCGCTTAATTTAAACCGGGTTTTGGCGGATTTAAACCGCGGCTCAAATTCTTTAAATTCCATCTCAGATAATAGTTTCTTATTAGATGGTGCGTACAATTCCCTTGCTTCTAATTAACTATTCGGGTTCTACAGGGTGTCCCACGAAACATGACAGTTGGTGAAGAATTTAGAATGTCTTTTTCCATTATTTGCTCAGTTGTTTGATACCAAAGAGCAATAAATATATTATATGGGAGTCATGTTATATCAAAATTGATTTCAAAGTAAAATATAATCAAGCAAAAGATTTGTTTAACTAACAATAACTGTTTATTAAATGTCTTGTTTCGTGGGACACCCTGTACATACGCCACTCTATTGATTGAATTTTATACACTATTCAGGTTGCAAACTGAAGATTTAATTTATCTTGAGATTAACAATACAAAGAGGAGATCAAGCATTGATCTCAATATCAACAGTTCTAAAGTTTTCAGCTCTGATTGAATAAACCAATACTTACTTTAACATTCTGCATATTGTCACAATAATGATAATCATCAAAAACATCTTTGTAACTCTCTTTCATCCACTATAAAATAAGATTTATCCAAATTAAAATCTAAATAGTTGTACGCATTAATTTTATGAAATGCAGCTGTCATTTTAATTTTTTTTATTCTTTATCAAACATTGAATCTGCTAAACATTGAACGACAAAGATTTCCAAAATGTTGTCGTGTTATCAAATAATAACTCGAAGGTTTGATCGTTTATGTTTGAATAAGATAAAATCTGTGTTTCCTTTTATTTGACTCCCAATACAGTACAGTGAATATGACTTACTTGTAGAGATGTTTGTACATTAAACTGGCATGGGAGTACATAAAACAGTTCGGGCTCCTTGAACCCTAAGCTTGTAAACCAGTCCTGATCCCCTACTGAAGGTCTAGATAAATTTTATCAAAATCTTTCCTAAGGGACTGTACTGTACTGTACTGTACTGTACTGTACTGTACTGTACTGTACTGTACTGTACTGTACTGTACTGTACTGCACTGTACTGTACTGTACTGTACTGTACTGTACTGTACAGTTTTACCCAGAACTTCGGAATCATCAAAATAATTTATAAAATATTGGTTTTTACACCTACTGATAATGGAATGCTACAAACATTTAGTTTTCTAATTGAATGATAATATATTTATGACTATTCATTTATTTTTACAATGACTGAAATAAACTGAGGTATAAAAGTATAAAACCCATTGAAAAATTGCCGAAACGACATTTATAAATTCTTTTGATGTCTCCGTAGTTCTGGCCTGAACTGTGGAGAACACTAATCCATATATTGTTCAATGGATTAACATAAAATACTTTTAGATTTTGTCCCTTATGTTCCCAACCCTATATTACCAAAACTTCCCAACCCATGCCCCTAAATGTTCCCTACTCTATGTCTTTAAATGTTTTCTACCCTATATTCCCAAATGTTTCCTACCCTAAGTCACAAACGTTCCCAACTCTTATTATCAGATGTTCCCAACCCATGTCTCTATATGTTCCCTACTCTATGTCTTTAAATGTTTTCTTCCCTAAAATCCCATATGTTCCTTACGTGACGTCCCAAACTTTCCCTTCTCTATGCCTTAATATTCCCTACCATATGTCCCTAATGGTTCCTAACCCTATGTTCCTAATGTTTCCTACCCTATGTTCCTAATGTTTCCTAACCATATGCCCCTAATGTTCCGTACCATATGCCCCTAATGTTCCCTACCTTATGTCCCAATCGTTTCAAAACAATTTTCCCAAAATTCAAAAATTTATATAATTTTATTACCTTACAAACTGCTCTGTAAAGAGAGCTACTAATTCCTTTGAGTTTAAATAACTAAAATAAAATAAAAAATTAAAAATGTAAAGTTAAAAAAAATAAGGTTTAAATAAAAAAAATGTAATTAATGTTGTCTTGTGGAAAAGAATATATTTTTGTGCAATAAACATTTTTGACTTATTCTTTAGAAATTCCGTGGAACTTTCTCCCTCAAAGTGACTAGCATGTTTTAATATGTTATTTCTATCCAATCCCTTACAAAATGTCTTCAAGATCTGATGTACAGTACATTGCTGCAGGAATGGAGAAAATCCGCAATATTTTATGTAGATACTAAGTTAGTAACTTTAATTCCAGTAATTGTTTATAGTTTTATACCCAGTTTTTTAAATTGGGGTTTCTCTACAAAAGTGACTTTCTCATTTCTACTGCAGAAGAAAATATGAAATTATCAGATCTGAACTCTTTTGAACCTGGAAAACGACAATCGATTAAATGTTTCAAAGGTGTTACCGTTAAGAATTGGGGCATTGCCATCTTTGCATGAAATTACGCTTGAAATTGAACTTAAAGTCTGTTTCTGTCTATATTTAAACTAACTTATAAACTGTCAATTCAAAATGGTTCAAGATCGTCAATAAAGGATTTCCGTTCAAGGTTACCGTGAATGACCTCAAAATCTAACAAAGTATTAAATAACCTAAAATTATGCTAAAAGAAGAGCTAATAAGAAAATTAACCCGCTTTACATCATTAACTATCTATCATTTTACAAAAAAATTAACATGATTTATAATTATTTATTTAAAAATATTTTTTTTACCTGTTATAAGTTTCACTTCTTCTCATCCTTTCCAAATGAAAAATGACAACACCGCTATTGAACCCCTGAAACAAACTCAAATATTTTAATACCTATATCTTTGCAAACCTTTGATATTAAAAGCTTAGAATAACTTTTATTTAATTAAAACAGACCTATTTTTTTTTGTTCAAATCGGAATTCCATTTGGGGTAGTTATGCGGAAATGCACGAAATTGATGGAAATCAGTAGGAATTTTTCGGATCTGTAGGGCTAACAATTAAGTGTAAGTAACAACCACTTCAGTAGGAAACTCTATTAACGAGAGTAGGTTTTGAATGCGGATAAATAAATGTCGGATTGATATAAATTTAATTCAAGAATTCTCACTTGAAATCTTCCTGGTCTTCCTGGACTATCCGGTCCCATCCCATAGATTTTATTGTAGGCTTCCATCTTTATTCTGAACATTCATTGGGTTATTCATTGATTGGTTCATTTAGTTATTCATTGATTGGGTCATTTAGTTATTCATTGGTTAGCCAATCAGGCTATTCAGTCATTCATTGATTTCGCCATTGAGTTATTTATTAATTAGGCCATTGAATTGCTAATTAATCAGGCTATTGAGTTATTCATTGATTAGGCCATTGAGTTATCCATTGATTAGGCCATTAAATTGTTATATAATCAGGCTATTGAGTTATTTATTGATTAGGCCATTGAGTCATTTATTGATTAGGCCATAGAATTGTTATATAATCAGGCTATTGAGTTATTCATTGATTAGGCCATTGAGTTATTTATTGATTAGGCCATTGAATTATTCATTTTATTAGGCCATTGATTAAGTCATTGAGTTATTCATTGATTATATCATTCAGTTATTTTTTAATTAGGTCGTTGCTATTGATTAGGCCATTGAGCTATTTGATTATTGATTAGGTCATTGAGTTATTAATTAATTAGACCATTAAGTTATTTATTGATTAGGCCATTATTTATTGATTATGTCATTGCGGTATTTATTGATTAGGTCATTGAGTTATTTATTGATTAAGTCATTGTGTTATTTATTGATTAGGTCATTGTGTTATTTATTGATTAGATCAATGCGTTATTTATTAATTAGGTCATTGAGTTATTTATCGATTAGGTTATTGAGTTATTCATTTATTAGATCATTGAGTTATTTATTAGTTAAGTCATTGACTTATTCATTTATTTGCTTATTATTATAAGTTTGATTATTAATTCTTTTGTTTCTTTTAACCTTCAATGATAAGTAAATTCAATTATTCAATTTTTTTTAATAGATAATTTATACCCATTGATTGAGTTGGTTTTTATTAATATCTTCATGGGGTTAGTCATTCATTAATCTTATTCTCGTCATTCATTCGACTCGTTCATGTTTCAATTTTGGATTTATTACAAGATCCATTTTGGATTAATTTAAAAATAATATATATAATTATACTATTACTATAGATCTGGTTAAAAAGATTATGCATTATCATTTAGTGATATTTGTAATACCTGTAATGTGGACTTAGGTCAAGTCCTATTCCGATTACAGCAGAGGTTTTTTCCATTTTTTTTACTTCATCAGTAAGGAGCCCAATATCAGCTTTAAAGTCTAGATACATAATTTGTAATAATAAAAACGTTGTAGTAACTTGTAGGTGCAACTGCAGAGCTAATGATGANAGTTTTAAAGAGACTGTATACGTAATTTCAAGTAAATCTCCTACTATGGTGTCATTTAAAGGGAGAGACCGTCTAGACATGACATGGCAGTTGAGCTGAAAGTGCAGTATTGCAGAGAAAATCGTTAAGATTTCTTTGATACCAATCAGACATTATTACGGTGCACAATTTTGAAGAAGAGCGTTATAGTCATTTCAGTCAGCAGAAGAAAGTTTTTTTTAATGTTTGACCAATTGTTTCAGTTCGCAGAAGAAACAATGTTTGTTACAATTCTCAATTAACAAAACATGTAACTAATACTATTCTACAAGGTAGCTGCATTTATACAAACAACTGGTCAAATATTACAAACATGTTTAGGCTCTTATTTAAAAATTGTACACTGTAAAAATGTTTTCTCTACAATCTGCATTCACAGTTTAAATATGTTAAATGCCCAGTCTATCCCTCACAAGCTGCGTCTGATCAAGATTTCATGAGATATCTATCAGATATCTATCTATCATGAGATATCTATCAGATATCTATCTATCATGAGATATCTATCAGATATCTATATATCATGAGATATCTATCTATCATGAGATATCTATCTATCATGAGATATCTATCTATCATGAGATATCTTTCTATCATGAGATATCTATCAGATTATCTTTTATTTATTGATCACTAGCTATAGTGCCCGGCGTTGCCAGTGAAATTCAAAAAAATTCCAGGGTACCCAAGGGTTCCCTAAAAAATTTCCGTCAATTCGGTTCAGCCGTTTGGTCAGCTATAGTGAACACATATACACTCTTATATACATATATATAAAAGCGAAGAGCTTTATTATATAGAAAAGATATATCCCACATTATTTCGGATCGTTTATTGCTGTAAATTGCGATATTTGGGACTAATCAGAAAATTTAAAAAAAATGATAATCATTAAAGAAAATTTCACGCAGAAAACACCAGGGTTTTCGTGTATTCGTTCGTATCTGCGTATTTCAGCGTTAAATCTTAGAGATAATCCAATATGATATTGGACGCTCTTTATATACGAGCGAAGAGCTTTATTCTACTGAAATTATTATTTTTATTTTTGAAACTGCCAGCATTAATAACTTGTCAAGCTAAAATTACGGTGATCTTTTTCATATTATCATCAGGTTAAAGGCTGTACCATTGTAAACTGGACTGTGGAGAGTATAACGAAGTTTACAAATAAACTGTACCTAAATCAAAGCAATCCAAGAAGATGAGTGTAGTTAGAGAGGTGAACGCTAGATGGTAGAAGGGCGCGATATAAAAGAAATCTCTAGAATATTTATCCTCCTGCAAAGCCTCTTTATCTGAACAACCAGTACATCAATTCATTAAATCATATTTATCTTATTCTTTATATTGAAATAGAGAAACATGCTCGTTATTTCCTAGAGACTGTCCTAACCCAAAATTCACAATTCGTCGAGTATTTTCCCAAAATCTGAAGGCCACTTTTTTTTACCCGATTCGATTTGATAAATATAAAAATAATTGGGCAAAGGAGTTGAGTCCCTGCCAAGATAACACAAATTTTCTCATCCCTTTATCTTTTGAACCTGATGCTGTAAACCTTTGAAATATCAAGCTTAGATTATACGATTTAACATATCAGAGGCCGAATTTAAAGAATTTGTGCCGCAGCTTAAATTTGAGACGCCGCTTAAAAATGGTTGGTTCCACAAAATGTTTATGTGAGAAAATCATAAAGTAAGGAAAATTAACCAATTCAATTTAATTGGTTTATTGTTTTTTAATATTGCATGCATTTGTTAAAATCTATAAACCTTTTGATTTTGACATTACCTGGAGAAAACTTGCATTTTCACATTTTAATATTAAACTGGGATTGTCAAAACCTATTTGTCTTTCTTAAAACTTTCCATGTTTAACTTTTTAAAACTATTTGAAATTGATAAGAATTGTGTACTTTTCCTCCAAGTTTGTAGCTTTGAAAGGTTTTCACAAAATCCATGTTTAAGTTTGCAACCTCGTGATAATCAACTCCAGATATTTAATATTTAGCATTGATAAATAATCGCAATTTTTTACAAAGAAATTAAGGCTTTACTACAAACTCTAATTTTCTAATCTCTATATCTTTGGAACCTGATGGTGTAAACCGTTGATATTTCAAACTTAGATTATTTGATTTAACAGAATTCATAGTTTAAAATATCGAAGGTCCCAGACATTTAGTTGCAAAGAAATAGAGATTAGAAAATCAGAGTTTGTGGTAAAAACTATAGTTCCTTATTGAACTATATTTTAGCCAAAAAAGAAGATCTTACACACTGAACAGTTTTTTTACTGAATAAAAACGAATTCTTCTATCTAAGACATAATTCTTCTGGTTTTCAGATTAAACCGAATAAAACAATTTTGTTAAACTAATAAAGAAAATGATTTTCATGCTAAATATCAACCTAAAGATACGTAAACCGGTGGAATGTGCTTTCTTTTCCGGTTCTGAACCTGATCAAAATACTATTATTAAATTATTAATTAACTTTTCATTTGGTCATTTCTTAGGGAAAATATAACTAAAGGGAGTGTTCTCTAAAAAGAAGGGGGTGTAGAAAATTCATTTTTTTTTGTCGATCAGAAATGATTCTTTTTGATTCACTCTCTCTGATTTTGAAATCGCCATCTCTTTCTAACCTGATGGTTCAAATCTTTCATATTTCAACATGAGGCTGCAAAGACAGTTAGTATAATAAATTAGAGCTTTCAGCTTCTTTCAAACAGGAATATCTGAACAATATTCTAATTTTTGTCCAACTCTTAAATATTGGGAATATTCCCTTTAATGATGAATACCTGGATTAACTCTGTGGATATAAGCCTGGCTAGCAGAGTCACCATAAACTCACCGACGTCTTGTCTACTCCAGTCATCAGTCACTAAAAATAATTTGTTGAAATTAATCCAACAATTGTAAAGTTGTTGCCAAAAACTCTAATTTTCTAATTGGCAACCCGATGTTGTAGACCTTTGAGATTTAAAGCTATAAATTCTGTCTGTAAACAAAAGAATTGAGTTCTTGTAACAAACTCAAATTTTCTAATTTTTCTAATTCTAACATTGCAACCTGCATAGTGTAAACCTTTGATATTTCAAACTTAGACTATTTGGTGTAACAGAAGATCAGAATTATCAAAGATCTACGACATTTAGTTGCAAAGATATAGGGATGAGAAAATCTGTGACAAGATCCAGTTCTTTTGTACATTTGTTGTAAAATGTGTAAAAAAATATTCATTTTAGGGAAAAAAATGTAATGTGTATTGAGTCACACGCAATAGATATTATTTTCTAACTTCAAACAAACCGATCGGGCAAAAATACTATAGTTATTACGGTCAGAATTTAAGGATGTTATTTCAAAACAATCTTTTTGAAAGGAATTGAGTCTTTGTCACTCTGATTTTCTAATCCTTATATCTCTGCACCCGGGGGTGTATTCAATGTAATATTTCAATCTTATATTATATAATCTAGCAGAATTCATAGTTTGAAATATCTAAGGTCTATAACTGCATTAGGCTGTAAGGATATAGGGATTAGAAAATCAGACTTTGTGGCAAAGACTCAATTCCTTTGGACGAAAGAAATACAACTAAAAATTAGCCCATCTCTTAGAGCTGTGTTTAATATCTCTTAGAGCTGTGTTTAATATCTCTTAGAGCTGTGTTTAATATCTCTTAGAGCTGTGTTTAATATCTCTTAGAGCTGTGTTTAATATCCAGGGTGAGCCAGACAAAAACTGGGACAAAACAAAACAGGGAGATTTTTTTCAATAGTAAATTCACTGCATTCATTGCTTAAGATTTTTGCGCCGAGGAACTCAGTTTTTGCAACAAAATCTGATTTTATAATCCCTATATCTTTGCAACCTAATGTCGTAGACCTTTTCTATCTCGAACTATGAATTATGTACGATCAATCAGCATTAGTTTGAAATTTTAAAGGTTTACACCACCAGGTTCAAAGATAAAGGGATTCGAAGATTTGAGTTTGTGGCAAAAACACATTTTACATTTTTTCTCAGATTTTTTTTGTTTTGTCTTTTATTTGAAAAAAAAAACACTTTGTAAGATTTTGGGACAGAATAGAATATATATAAATATCTTCAATTTTTAAAAAAGAGTGGATCAAGCATTAATCCCGATATATACCATTCAAAAGTTCCAAGCTCGGGTCATAGATCAATGAACATAACTACGCTAAATCCTATATTTAACTTACATACAATAAAGTGTATGGGTCTCCTTGAATCTGCCTGCAGTAGAAGTTTTGTTAAAGACTCTTTAGACCGTCGGGAAAACTCCTCATCTAAACAAACTCATTAAAAACAAGTTATCAGAAATGTTTTTGAAAAAGAGGCCAGTTAAAAAAACGAAAATCTATAAAATTTAGTGAGAACCAGAAAACTGTGGAATAGGAAGACGATACTGAATCAATAATTCACGGGGAGCCGTAGTACATTTGAATTTCCGAGCCGGGTCAACCTTTCCGGTCCCAGTTTGTACTGTATCGCCCGGACATTGGGTAAATAAAGCAGACATTCAAAAGAACTAGCCGGTGCAACAAGGTTGACGCGGTCAGACGTTAGGTTGAATTTACTTTTTCTAATGGGTCAGGGGTGCGTGAATTTAGCGTATTTGATGTTGTTACAAGGCAAATAGATTTAAAATTATAAACTCATTAAATCACTTATTAAGTAAAATGAGTCTGTTTACTCTGCACACATGCTGTGTTTCATCAATAAATGTCCGGAAAATCTAAAGTCAAAACTTAAATCTTAAAATCGTGGTTTTTCCTATTAAAGAGATTTCATGGTTTTCCCTGTAGATGCAGGGTTACTCACAAAGGATGAGACTTCACAGACGATTGTACGGAGTTTTGTCAGCCTTTTTCTTGAATTGTTGACTTTTGTAATATTATTTCTATCATTAATTTTGTATTATAATTTCTATCATTACTTTTGTACTAGCATTTCTATCATTACTTTTATAATATAATTTCTATCATTACTTTTGTAATATCATTTCTATCATTACTTTTGTACTAGCATTTCTATCATTACTTTTATAATATAATTTCTATCATTACTTTTGTAATATCATTTTTGTCATTACTTTTGATTTGGGAAAAATATAGACAACGTCATGGTTCTAAAAGCAAGAAAAAATGAAAATATTGATGATTATTAAATACACTTGTTTGACTTTCCAAAAACATAAGAGAATGGAGACAAAAAACATAATAAATAGACCAAAAAAAACAATTAAAACTATAAAAACAACGAAATTAACGAAAAACACACCAAATGAAATATAGACCGCAAAAAACACAAAATAGAAAAAACCAAAAAAACAAAGAGATGAAAAATACAATATTGATAATAATCGACGAAAAAATCAAGAATTTACCGAAGCCTGAAGTTTGATGCCTGTTAACCATGATGAATCCCAGGTTGATGCAGTTTGATGCTGGACTAAATAGTTGTATTAAACCAAGGCACTAATGCATGGAAAGTTAATTGCAGTTGCGTATACACTGCGTACATATTGAAACCAGTTCTCTCTGGGCGGAATTTGTAAACAAGAATAGATGCATCAGTGTTCGTCTGGTATCCGAGGGCGATAAAAGCATTTAATTTTGACAATTTTGATAATTCGCATAATAGTTTTCTATGACCAGAATATTTCATTGATTTTTTATGTGAAAAGGGATTCCATGTCATGCTGTGACATCCGTCTTGTGTTTACTTTTCCGCCCAAAGTACACTGCAGTACAAAAAATGTGTACACCTCTGAAATAACTTTCCTTGCATTAGTACCTTGTATTAAACTATCGATACTTAAACCCTAAATTCTTGTAAATGTATAAAATCCTAATTTAGCTTCTATTAAAAGCTTAAACGAACTGATCTAAAAAATCTACATATTATAATATATATTATATATATTATATATTATATCTAATATTATAATCCCTAAACCTTTGCAACTTAATGGCACGTAAAAACCTTTGCAACCTAATAATATGTTTAAAACTTTTGATTTGATCGAGTAGAATTAAAAGTTTGAATTATCGATGTCAAGTTGCAAAGATATTAGATTTATAAATTGAATTTTGTGGGAAGCAATCAGTTCCTATAAACTTTTATAACCAAATTAAGTACGTATTTTATACGTTTCGAATTCCTGTAAGCCCAAGTAAGATTCAAAAATAGCCGTTTGGGTAAAAAATGAGACTAAATCGATTTTTTTTACCGATTATATCCGATCGATAAAATCGCACTTTAAAAAACTAAAATATATTGCATTCCCCAACCCCCACGGTGAACTAGAGGTCTTAGTAAAAATTCTAGGGAGTCTTAACTTTAGAAACTATTTTCACCCATTATGTGAAGTTTCTTAGTAATTCTTTTTTTATACTTTTTTAGAATATTTAAGTATAATAGGCATTTCACGTTATTTATAACAGATTATGAATGAGAGATCAAAATATGACTTTAAATGTTCCAACATAGACAAGATGCACTCCGTTGTAGTTAGTTTGACGTGCCCCGGTATCCCTCGATTTAACCAATTCGGCGCAGAAGGTAGTTTTTTTCTGAGTGTTGGACGATTTTTGGGATTCCACGCGCAACGCGCAGGAAGTTGTTAATAATCATGATATAATTGATATAATCTATGTATTGTATGTTCAGAATGTAAAAGCATATTTGTAAAAATTAGAAATGACGTGAGAAAGAATAAATGTCAGAAAATACAATGATGTTTTTATATCATTGTATACTTCACACTTTAAACAGATTTAGTAAATTGATAGGTGTGTTCCTGAAATATATAAAAAGTGTTTACAACAACAACAACAACAACAACAACAACAACAAAAAAGATCCAAGTTCAAAGTTGTTATAAAATTGTATTGCCATGACTAGCAAAAAAGCATGGATCTAGTATATTAATTTTTTAATTAAAGACGTGAATATAGTCTATCAATTCTATAATTAAAAACGTGGATATAGTAAATTAATTCTTTACTTAATATATCATATTAATTATATAATTAAAAACGTAAATATAGTTTATCATTCTCTAATTAAAAAATTGCTTCCAAAAATCATAATGACATTCTTTTCGTAGATTTCGAGAATCGAATAAAAAGATTTTTTTTCCAAATCCCGTTAAAAATTTCTTTAATTGTAAGAAACAATCTTAAACTTAAATTAGTGTTTGTTAAATCAACTGAACTATAACTCCCCCCCCCCACCCCTCCGATTGTGACCATCATTACTATGATTGCGAATTGAATTCTTTATTTTCAAAGCAAAGAAAATATTAGTGCACTATTTGCGGCTGTACCTTAAAACTTCTGCGGCTGGTGTAAACTCTGCATCTCCTACCAATCAACCGTGTCAAAATATCGCAGATATTTTTTTTAAAATATCTGTTAATACAATTCTTTATATTTTTATCATTAAAACAAAAACTCAAGTTTTCTAGGCCCTATATCTTTGCACCCTGACAAACCTTGAATATTTGATCAAACATAAACAATAATTTGAAATATCATAAGGCTACGACATTAGGTTGCAAAGATACAGGAATTAAAAAATCTAAATTTATGTAAAGAACTCAGTCAATAATTCTCTTAACGTCTATCAAATAATTAAATATAATTTTTAAAAAATAGAAGTATTTATTTTTATTTCATATTTTTTACACGTCCCTATTTTTCGTAGCTTTTCTGTATAATCACTGAATATATTTCTCCGCTCATTTATATTATTCCTAGAAAATAATATTATTCTTCAAGACGCTTTCATTTTAATTACAAGAAATCCTGCTTTGTCTGTTTGAGCTTAAAAGACAAAAAACTATGGGGTTTATCGGTAAAACACAAAACATTGTATTTTACAAGCACCGTGATACAGATGTGTCATTGTTCCTTATTGATTTACAATTTCCGAAAAAGTAAATTCAGCATCATCAGCATCATCAGCAAAATGCCTTTCATGCTAAATTGTGAACAGAAGTATTGCTGACGTAAAAAGTCTATTTTTATTTTTAAAAGAATTAATAAAAGAAAGTACGTGCACTAATGTAAATATAATTATTTTTTTTAAGTCCTCGTTGGAACTTATTAAAAGGGACTAGGAACATAGTTTTAAGTGATCTTCCGTTCAACAAGTTAAATTCCCATTCACAACGGTACCCTTTTAACCTTTGCTGCGCAAAAAGTAAACCTCGTTTTTTCTTCTCTGAAATCTAAAGTAATCTGCGGATTTACGCAGTGGAGAAAAGAAAGAAAATTGTCAGACTTTATTTAATTTCATGATATTTCCTCAGTGTTACTAAGATACAAGTGTGAAAGGCAATAAAATTGGAGGTTTGAAGCGCCAAATGAAATTTTGTTAATAGTCTCTTCAAGGAGGAGGTTATGTGACGTGGTGGTTATAAATAACCGTATGTTTGGCCTATTGTTCGATTCAACTATAAAACTAATGGCATGAGTCATGACATATATAAATGTCAAAAAATCAGCAAAAGTTTGAAAATTCGAAGTATTTTTTTGATAAAATTAAAAATTCAATTTTGTTTAGATTAATAATTCAAACAAGCAAATCTATAATACATACATTGCAATTGTCTATTTATTTGTTTGTATCCAATAAACGTAAAAACGGCTGAACCAATCGAGTCCTAATTTTTTTTGCGACATCTCACATGACCACAGGGAAGGTTTACGACCGGTCGAAGTAAAATATTTTGTTAGAACTGGTAATAAGGATGCTCAATGCACATTGAGAACGCACATTGTTTACGTGCTAATGAGGAGGTACTATAAAGTCGCACCACAAAATGTGACATAAATGAATTTAATATAATAAATACAATATATACAATACATTCCATCTTTGAAAATTATAATATCATATAATATGTGTAATGTATATTAAATTATGATTAAAGGGTATTTTGAAATTGTGAAAATTCGAATAAAAAACGGTATTTCTGGAATCCATTTTTTTAAAACATGATTATATACTGTTCAATCGCTTTTATTGACCAAAAATCCTGATTTCAAAATGTTGGAACAAAATCAGCAATTGCTGTCTTCGATTTTTTTTCATTTCAAGCATAAATAAACACAAACATTGAATAAATATTGAACAATAATCCCCTGATGCAGATCTAAGGAGGGGATCGTTCAATTAGAAAAATGCAATCCAGCTATTTCTCAGAAAATTAGATAGCTGTATTCAATTTCGTTTAATTTACATAATAAATGTCGCTAGCCATTTAACCCATTTAATGGTTTTTGTAACTTTGGATTAGAAGATTTCAAAGATAGGTTTGACCTGAGCTACCTGAGTTTGTGAATATGAACATAAGAAAGTAGAATCCAGGATGAGCAAAGTATACACACAACTCTGTATAAACTATTCTTCTTCATCTGAAACAATATTGCTGTACAACAGTGTACAGAATTCAGTAAAATGTACAAGGTGTCAGTCACTAAAAAATTGTGCAAACAAACATAAAAGATCTGTAATATGTATACTATGTAATATTTGTACTGTACTGCTTGCCCTGGCTATAGTTGAAATTCGGCCTGGTACATGAAATAAATTGGAATGTACAGTGTACTGTGAACCCAGACAAGGGTTCCCCCATATGTCTTTAGTATCGTATAAGTTTATTGCTCCCAGTTGGAAAAATGATGCCTAACAAATGCAATCTATGAATTAAGTCAAACAATCCAGATCCAGTCCAAAAGGGTATTACTTTGTCATCTGGAGATATCAATTTGGACCCATTTAAAGAGCAGTTTAAAGGGCAGCTAGGATAAGACCCGTGCTGGAGAAAGAAGTGAAACGGCATTTATCTTGCGGGCAGAGAAATCAGTATCATCAGCCATCTTATCTCCGGGAGCCCCAATACTTGGCAGTCAGCACGAAGTATCTGATCAGAAGAGTCAAATGGAAATATATTCGACCCAGGTGAAATGTTGTGTGATTTTAGATAAACTTTAGTTTGATCCAGCAGATCCAGCACTTATTGTTTGTATCGTTATAATGTAAATACATGAGTGTGTGCAACCATGCTTTGTTATTCCACTCAATCATGGCTTTTTAATACTTTGCATGTCTAAAGTACCTGTCTAACCAAAAAAGATACGACCTTTGTCTACAATCGACTGTGATCATTTGCCAGGCTTCATTAGTTCCATACAACGACTTTAAACAGTACAATGTACACTATATGCATATATTATAAATTCATTTATTGTAGAGTTTGTTTATTTGTTTATTAATCTAATATATGTATATATACAGTGTACAGTGTACAGTATATTATGATAAACATATTTCTTTTTAAAACTATAAGTTATATTTTAGATAATAAACAAATTGCATTTGTTCATCGAAATATACATTGTACACTATATGTACACTTTCAAAAATACCACATGAAACAAAATCATTTGTAAATCTAGAGTTCATTCATCAGAGAAAATTGTAATTTTTACACTGTAAAAATTACTCGCTTTATACAGTGGGACCCATAAAACTATGGAAAAAGACGACAGTTAAACTCAATTTATGATTTTAAATAGTCCACTGAAGATTGAACACAGAAATTGTTCAGTATTATACCAGTAGAATCAAATACACTGAAACACAACACGGGTTAAGATATTTACAAAACCATGATAATGCAATATTTTGTTGGACCATGGCAGGTAGCGGTATCTCCACTTACAGGAGAAAGTTATTCCAAAACAAATACTTTACTTTTAGAAATTGTAATTCATAACTGTTTTTTAATCAAATACGGAATTTACATCCTTCCTTATCTCATTGAAGGAATTTCTAAAATGTCGTCTTACAATTAACATTGGTGGATTTTGTTTTCCTGAGGCCGTTCCTTCTATAAACTACATTGGTCGACAACTTGACGTCTCCTATATTGGTCGTCAAGTGTACGGAGAAATTATCTATCTATCAAATAAGAAATTAGCATGAGACATCTAGCGGCCGACATATATCGTCCCCCAAAGTACGTGAACTATACGACCACTGTATGTATAGAGAGAACGGGCTCTGCGGACGATTCATGGCTTTGGGATTAAACACATAAGTTAATTTAATGTTACAGTTACAGAATGGGAAGGGTTCACTTCCACAATTTGTGTTGTATGGAGATTTTTACATCGATATCAAATGTCGTCTTACATGTTACATTTGTTTTCCAAAATCAAAAGAATGCCACTCAATCTTAATATGAACCATCTCAGAATAAAAAAAAAAATGTTCCCTCCTTCTACATTTTCAAATTAAATGCATGCAAAAATATTAAATTCAACTCTCCAAGCACAATTAAATACTATCAATTTACAGGGTTACACTTCAGAGACAATTGTACGGAATTAATACCTGTTTCCTCCTTATATTCACGATTCCCTGCAGCTGTAAACTTGTTCGTTTCTTTGCCAAATCATTAAATAAGCCATTAAATTTAGATTTACTATATCTTTGGCAGAATACATATATTAACCTTGGGATTATTATATTTTAAGAGTTTCTGGTCGTCTTCACAGTCTCATCCTTTGTGGGTTACCCTGTACAAGTACTGCTCACTCCCAGCTTCAAGGCTTTCTTACTTTAAAGACGACCTTAAACTCTTGAACTATCACAATCTGAGAATTCAATGCTTAACTTGGCATTGAAGAAGGGTTACCCACAAAGGACTGTAAAACTAAAGACGACCGTCAACTCTGAAAATATGAAGATTTCTAGGTTAAATTAAGTCTTCAGCCTTTAATTTAAATTCTTGTAATGGCTTATTCAATGATCTGAAAAATAAAGAAAAAGTAGCAGTTGTGGGAAACGACGAACAATAAACGAAAAAACGATCATTTCTTATAACGGTCGTTTTAAAAAACGATAGTTAACGACGACCCTTCGTTAACGATCGTTAACGACCTTTTTTTTCGGAAAATCCGAGTTCAGAAAACATTCATGTTATTTGTCTCGATATAAAAAACATTTAATACAACATTTATAACCTGATCTTCCCCAAAAATTTTTTTTATTTTTTTTGAAAAAATATTTAAAAAAACGATCGTTTTCAAAAACAAACGTTTTTCGTTTTTTGAAAGTTCAAAACAAGTTCTTTGTTTCCAAAAGCGATCGTTTTAAAAACGGTTAACAACCCTAGACTAGTGGATGACAATGCATATGATAGTTTCACTAATAATTGATGTCGCAATGAAATCAAATAAATTCAAACATTTAGTAATAAAGACTAAAAAAATTACAGTTTTTTTTTTCCTTTGTGTACAACCTTGTATATTGTCACTATACAGACTTATTTATAAAAACACACAATTTAGAAACAACAGAGTGTAACAAATGATTTATTATTATTATCAAGTAACATTATTTTAGCACATTTTTAAATTAGACTATATTATATTTAGTGCAACAAGGAACCATAGTAAAACTTAAATCATAATTAGGTCTTTAAAGGGATCGATTCCTGGATCTTTGTTAATTGTGAAATCTATTAAATCTGGGATTCGTAATTAGAATTAAAATTAGGATCAGTCCCTTTATTCGTCTATTATCTATCACTGAGAGTCTCCAGTTTGATTTTGATCAGTTCTCCTCCGTCCTAAAAGTTTACAAAAATTAGAAGAAAAAAACTCTGGAATTTAAAACTGGAGGAGACGATAAACAGATGGCAAAAACATGAAGTAAACCTTTAAAATGCATAGGGTAAATCTGCGAAACATTTCGTCGCGAAAGATGCGAAAATTTTCGGCGAAACAAGAAATCTGAGAAATTTCTCGAAAAGTATGGTTCATATTCTGAAGACTTGCTTTCAAGAATCGTTTTTTTTAAAGTAACCCGAGGAAAAAGATAACAAAAACTCTGCTAATAACAAATGAAAAATAACAGGGAAAAAAAACAAATTTGAATTACCTCATTTCTTACTCGACTTCTGTTTTGTCTCCTTGATCGTAACTTGAGGCGGGTTTAGAGCTAGATGTACTTTCTTCTATAAATAGAGTACATTGTTTCAGAGACATATATACTACTTTCTTCTATAAATAGAGTACATTGTTTAATTGGATTCTGGGCTAAACTTACGTTCTTCCATAAATAGAGTACATTGTTTCAGTGATAGATGTACTTTCTTTTATAAATAGATTTTATTGTTTCAGGGACAGTTGTACTTTCTTCTATATATAGAGCACATTCTTTAATTTGGTTCATGGCTAGGTGTACTTTCTTCTATGAGTAGAGTAAATTGTTTAATTGGGATTAGTGATAGATGTACTTTCTTCTATAAATATAGAGCACATTCTTTAATTGGGTTCAGGGATAGGTGTACTTTCTTCTATGAGTAGAGTAAATTGTTTAATTGGGATTAGTGATAAATGTACTTTCTTCTATAAATAGAGTATATTGTTTAATTGGGCTAAATGCTAGATGTACTTTCTGATTTAAATGTAGTAATGTGTTTAAATGTATTCAGTGCTAGATGTACTTTCTTATATAAATAGAGTACATTGTTAAATTCGGTTCATTATATATATAATAACAAATATAGTTTAAACTGCATACTCAGCATTTAAAAATGGTTAGAATATCAGGAGTTTAGTTTACCTTATAGCTGGTTAGAATATCAGGTGTTCAGTTTACCTTATAGCTGGTTAGAATATCAGGAGTTTAGTTTCCTTATAGCTAGTTAGAATATTAGGAGTTTAGTTTACATTATATCAGGTAAGAATATCAGGAGTTTAGTTTACCTTATAGCTGGTTAGAATATCAGGTGTTTAGTTTACCATGCATATGGCTGGTTAGAATATCAGGAGTTTAGTTTCCTTATAGCTAGTTAGAATATTAGGAGTTTAGTTTACCTTATATCTGGTTAGAATATCAGGAGTTTAGTTTACCTTATAGCTGGTTAGAATATCAGGAGTTTAGTTTACCATATAGCTGGTTAGAATATCAGGAGTTTAGTTTATCTTATAGCTGGTTAGAATATCTGGAGTTTAGTTTACCTTATAGCAGGTTAGAATATCATGAGTTTAGTTTACATTATAGCTGGTTAGAATATCAGGTGTTTAGTTTACCATGCATATAGCTGGTTAGAATAGCAGGAGTTTAGTTTACCTTATAGCTGGTTAGAATATCAGGAGTTTAGTTTATCTTATAGGTGGTTAGAATATCATGAGTTTAGTTTACCTTATAGCAGGTTAGAATATCATGAGTTTAGTTTACCTTATATCTGGTTAGAATATCAGGAGTTTAGTTTACCTTATAGCTGGTTAGAATATCAGGAAGATCATAAGCAATTGCAATATCAAGCTTATTCAGAGGACATCCCTAAACATTGTGGTGTGTACAGAGGTAACCAGAAAACTATGGACTAAATGTCGTCTTCCTTTGAACTTTTTGTAAAAAATGTCTTCAAAAGTGTTGTAGTTTTTTATTTTAACTGATATAAATTTGAAATTGTACAAGGAACATTTTAGAAATAGATCAGTTTAAAACACAATTTACAAATTACAAATGCTCTAGGGCCATTTCAGAACAAAAATAAATATAGAAAACGACATTCATTCCACTGTTTTCTGGTTACCTCTGTGTATCAACTTTGAAGTATCAGTAAACGTTAAAAGACAATCTACATTTTACAGGCTACCACCGTATGTACAGGGTGTCCCATATCAGATTAGATTATCTCCAAGCTTTAACGCCAACATAAGCATGCATATACTCGAAAATCCTGCTATTTTCTGCAAGAAAATTTTGTTATTAGCAATAGTAAATAATGACTCGTTTTTTAAAATTTCTGCTTATGTATCTTCAATCTCAATTTAGAACTTGAAACAATTGAATATGATGTGGGACACCCTGAATAGTAATTACAAAGTTACATACTGTGAATTTTAATAAGTATAAAACTTACAGGGTGTCCCACGAAACATGACAATAGGAAGACGACTTGAAAGTCGTCTTTGATATTTGAATTTATTTGTGACGTTTAGTCTTCTATCTACTTTAACATGTATGATTCTTGAAACAATTATCACATAATTCTCATAGCCCTGGCATTTCCAAAAAGTGGTCTGCGTTTTTTGTGCTTTCAATAATACCGGAGATATAAAGAGTTTGGTTCGTTCAGATTTCAATTTTGTTAAATAAAAGCAAAATTGTCGAAATCTGAACGAAATTCTTCATATCTCCGGCAATATTGAAAGCACAAAAAAGGCAGACCACATTTTGGAAATGGCAGGACAAGGGAAATTTTGTGATTATTTTCTCTAGAAATTTACTTCTAAAATTAGGTTGACAAATAAACGCAGCAAATTATATCAAAAATCAAGACGACATTCAAGTCGTCCTGCATACTGTCATGTTTCGTGGGACACCCTGTAGATAATGCAAAAATTTAAACTTTGGCATATAAAGCAAAATAAATCAATCAAATTAATCTGCACATTTTTTAGCCATTTATCAATAAATAACTAATTTTCCTACCTTGAAGAAAGTACATGTACTTTGTAAAGTGTCAAAATCAAACAGTGGGTGAACGTTGAAGAAATCCCTGAAAACTTTCAGTTAACTAAATTTGCATATACTTTTAGGACACTTCGCCCCATTTTCAAATTCAATTGTGAACATAATAAGACCAACCTAATCAGGTCTCTTGATCTGTTTTATACATACAGGGTTACCCACAAAGCATTAGACTTTAATGATGACACAGAGTTTTAAAAATACGACGATTTTTTGGGTGAGATTGGTCCAAGTGTAGTAAATGCCCTACTCCGTAAGGGTTTCCCAAATCTATCCAGGTACAATTCAATCTCACTTTACTATCAATGTCAAACTGAACACGAGCTCGTAAACTATCAATACCAGACCAATGGGCACGATCTCGTCAGCTATCAATGTCAACATGGACACAAGCTAGTAAACTATCAATACCAGACCAATGGGCACGATCTCGTCAGCTATCAATGTCAACATGGACACAAGCTAGTAAACTATCAATACCAGACCAATGGGCACGATCTTGTCAGCTATCAATGTCAACATGGACACAAGCTAGTAAACTATCAATACCAGACCAATGGGCACGATCTCGTCAGCTATCAATGGCAACATGGACACAAGCTAGTAAACTATCAATACCAGACCAATGGGCAGTGAACCAGAAATCTATGATAAGGCAAAACAAATCTTGAATTGTCTCTATAGCAGTCTTATTCTTAGTGAGTAAACCTGTATATTAATTATTAAGGTTTTGTTCTTTATTTGTAAACGTCTAGAAATGATTTTTTTTCATCCGGGTAATCCGTGAAGACGATATTTAAAAACTTCAGATGAGACTTCAGAGAAGACTGAATGAAACTTGTACTGTCTGATTCCTTATATATTTTATTATTCCCACTAAATTTTAGACTGTTTTTTTCTTTGCCAAACCATCAAATCGTTATATTTTTGGAGTTTCAGGTCGTCTTTACAGTCTCATCTTTTGAAGATAGCCCTGTATTTGACCTGTAAGTATCCGGATCCGGTAGATCATATCTAGAGATATTTGTTAATGTTGATAGACCCTCGTAGATATGGTATTTGCTGGGGTTGTCTAGAAACAAATACAGTTTATTAAAGGGACTGTACATGTACTGTACTGCACTATCCTGTACGGAACATATACTGATTCCTGGCCTGTATAGAACTATGTTGTACTGTCCTGTCATGTACTTTATTGTAGTGTATTGTACTGTGCTATACTGTTTTTAACTTAATTTTAGTGTACTGTACTGTATAAAGAATGATTTGCAATACACTTTATTGCGCACTGTACTGTATTATACTTTAATGTACCGTAAAGTGCAAACACTGTACCATTTTGCACTGGACTGTTCGTTACTGTGCTGCACTGTAATGTGCTTCCCTTTACGTACTATACCTATTATATCCTGCGCTATCTTCTTCTTGTCCCCGAAGTACCCCTTGTTGTTCTTGAAGGTGGTGAGGTAGCAGTCCACCATCTTAGCATGGTTCCTTACACGCACAGCAAACCTCCTGATGTAACAGGAAAAGTTAATGCACAGTAAGCATTTGGTGTACCGTCTCGTTTTGCCTTTTATAGTCTGTATGTGTACTGTACAACTTTCTCTATAGCTGGTTAAAAGCAAGGATTTAATGCAAGGAAAGTAATTTCAGAGGTGTACGCATCTTTTGTACTGCAGTGTACGTCTCTAGGCGGTAATGTAAACACAAGACGGATGCCGAAGCCTGGCATGGGATCCATCTTTCACATAAAAATCAACGAGATATTCTGGTCATAGGAAACTATTATGTGAATTATCAAAATTTTCAAAATTCAATGCTTTTATCCTCCTCGGATACTAAACGAACAATGATGCATCTATTCTTGTCTAAAAATTCCGCCCAGAGAGAACTGATTCAATATAAACGCAGAGTATACGCAACCGCAATTAACTTTCCTTTTATTATGACCTTGGTTAAAAGTAATCCTGAACTTGAAATGAACATGCACGCCTCATTGAACAATAGTAAAGTTATTTACAAAATTTACTCAAGTCTCATAAACTCAAATCAAGAGCCTAAGAAAACTCGGAGAATTACAAATAATTTCCTGAATTAAAAATGTTGTCTCTTTATACCGGGTGTCCCTTGAAACCGGGATTTTAACCTAGCTGTAATGTTCCTTTAATATTGAAGAAGATATTCAATCATAATTTTGGCCCATGTTTAATTTATTTTATAATAAAATATTTTTCAAGCATCTCCGTCGTGTTTTAAGATACATGTAGACGACTTTCACAGTAAAACTGGGGCGTATACTAGAATTTACTGATCTGGGGGTTGGTCATTAATGTCCCCCACTCTGTGATCACAGCTGATTATATTTACTTATTTGACTAAAGTTTATACCTGGCAGTTGATATTCTGTTCTCCACTCTTTTATCAATAGCCTCTCTTATATCCTTGAGAAGAGACTGTTCCTGAGCTTTCAACAATCTTTTAGGTGCTCCAGCCTAGATATTCAACTTTTAGGTGCTCCAGCCTAGATAATTCAACTTTTAGGTGCTCCAGCCTAGATAATTCAACTTTTAGGTGCTCCAACCTAGATAATTCAACTTTTAGGTGTTCCAGCCTAGATAATTCAACTTTCAGGTGCTCCAGCCAAGATAATTCAACTTGTACACAATTAAATTATATATAAAGACTCTTAAGGCGATTGTAAGCGTAATTTCATATTTTTCCTGCTAAGAAGCAATAGAGAAATTATCAGAATTAAACACTTTTTGAGTCAGAAAAACGACGGTTTCTTCCACATTTTTTATCAAATTAAAATTTCTAGGGTACCGTTGTAAATGGCATTTTTTGACGGAGGGCCATAGTGTTAGAAACTACATAGTATTAGAAACTACATAGTGTTAGAAACTACATAGTATTAGAAACTACATAGTATTAGAAACTACATAGTTTTAGAAACTACATAGTTTTAGAAACTACATAGTGTTAGAAACTACATAGTTTTAGAAACTACATAGTTTTAGAAACTACATAGTGTTAGAAACTACATAGTGTTAGAAACTACATAGCTTTAGAAACTACATAGTTTTAGAAACTACATAGTGTTAGAAACTACATAGTGTTAGAAACTACATATCAAACACAAATTTGACATATCAAACACAAATTTGACACATCAAACATAAATTTGACATATCAAACACAAATCTGACATATCAAACACAAATTTGACCTATCAAACACAAATTTGAGCTATTAAACACAATTTTGAGCTATCAAACACAAATTTGAGCTATCAAACACAAAACTTGACCAATCAAACACAAATTTGATCTATCAAACACAAATTTGACCAATCAAACACAAATTTGACCTATCAAACACAAATTTGACACCTATCAAACACAAATTTGACCTATCAAACACAAATTTGAGCTATTAAACACAAATTTGACACCTATCAAACACAAATTTGACCTATCAAACACAAATTTTTCGCTTTTTCTCCTTTCTATTTTTTTCGGTGGATGCGTTATAAATGAAAAGTATTTAAAGAAAACTGCATAAGTTTTAAGATTGTTGCATTTGTATAAACAAACACGTGATTAAATTCAAATTGAAGAAACAGAATGCATCTCGTCCTGGTCACTCCAGGGCAGTATGGGTGTAAGGAGGCAATGGCTTAGGTTCGATGGGTTTCAAAGCAGGATTCAGAAATGAAGAATGCAAATTTTTAAATCTTAAAGAATTTAAGGGTGTTACCCTTCATAACCGAACTTTGAATAACTTTTTCCTATACGCTACGCACTAGGTTTAACATAAACAGCTTAAAGGTTCCATTAGACAATTAAAATAAGAGTTTTTCTTTATTGATATGCTCAAAGGGACTGTAAGCTTAATTTCCAGTGACCTTCCATGCAAAGATGGGAATGTTAAGTTCACAACGATACCCTGAAAACCTTTATCTGATCCAAGTCAATTTAGTAGAGAAAGCACATTTGAAGATAATCTGCTTTACAAAATTAGAAACATTCATATCTTATTTATGCTTGAACAGACAATGCTTTTAAGGTTACTATTGTGAATCTAACATTATAATCTTTGCTTGGAGGGTCACTTGAAATTACGCTCACAATCCCTTAAACGTGACACCTTGTAAGGTTTTGACCAGAAGCTCCCAGCGTATAGAGTTGGAGGCTCCGCGCTCGCCATCAGGGGTGAAACGTTCCAGACCAGGTTACCCTGGATCTTCAGTAGTTCCTCAGCAGTGATTTCATCAGCTTTATTCAACAGAATACGAACCTAGACAACAATATTTTTTTCAAGATCTGTTTAATGGAGATTCTGAGCAATGGGTTAAAAAGAATTTTTTTTTCATTTATTCATCAATCACTTAATTGACATAAATATTCACTGCAGTTCATTTTAAAACCGTGCCTAGGAAATTACAGTATCCGGATCAGAGTCACAAAATATTAACCAAAACATTTAAACCCCTTATTCTCTGAAACATACACACATTTCAAGAGTCACTTAATACAGTGCACTACTCAAATATTAGGTCTTTTAGATTTTTCAAATTGTTAAAAAAATCTGATCATTTTATGTTTTTCCTTGACCAAATATTGATTAATTCACACTGAGAACTAAATCTAATGTGTACATCCAAGAAAAATAAATGCAAAAGCAAAAATTGGCTTTTTTTGTAGGTTATTTAGCTCCATGCGCATAAAGAAGTATATGCTAAAAGCAAATTTAAGTTTCTCCCATGGTCAGATTTAGAGATAGAGTTTTCAAAACATCTACAAATTATCTAATAATCATGATAAACAGATTTGGTAATTCGTTTAGTAAATGCTCCTGTTGGGTTTTTACTAATTTCTACATAACCGACCCATTATTGTTAAGAATATGGCCTTTTCAGGCTAAAAATAGGAAAAATAATTTTTATCTTTGCCTCTCATTCAAAAACCCATTAAGATATATTCTGATCAAAATGGTGAATTTGTTTATCATACACTTTAAGAAAATTTACAAACGTTTTAAAGTTCTAGCACTAAAGCTGACCGTGGGAGAAGCTGAACTGTGCTTTTTGAACATATTTCTATCTGCACTTAAAGCTAAATAACCGTCAAACCAAGCCAATTTTTGCTTATTTATTTCTTTTTCTTGGATGTACACATTAGATTTAGTTCTCACTGTGAATTATATTAATCAATATTTGACCAAGGAAAAACATAAAATGATCAGACTTTTTTTACTATTTGAAAGATTTAAGAGACCTAATATTTGAGTAGTGAGTGATAAACAGAAAACTCTGAAATGGGAACACGAATTTTAGACTCAAGGTATGACTTTAAATAATTGAATGCGCATGGGACACATTGATTGTGCAGTGTAAACAGACCCCTTTTACTTAATTATAATTAATACAACCTTCCATAATCATAGAATTTTAGATCAAGCGTCTAGATTACAATAAAGGAAAAAGAAGAAAAAAATTATGGATAATATTATTTATTCAACGTAATTATTTTTATACATATCTCCGTCACTTACTTACTAGTTTCATTGATAAAGCCCCCCAAAATTTGAATTTCAGTAATTAAAAAAAAGTTAAAATGTATAATTTTCTTGTCAGCTGCAAAACTTGGAACAATTTACTTTCATGATCTTCATGATTTAAAACCCACAGTACACAGTACACTTTACAGTTTATTACAGCTTTATTTTATATTTAAAAAGATAAAATCTTCCCTTATATATCTTATATATATATATATATATATCTTATATATATCTTATATATCTTGAAATCATGTAAAGTACAAGACATTTATCATTTTACCCAAGGATATTAAATAAGGCCGGAAAAAGAGAAAAATTCTTGATATCAATTTGCACCTTCAAACGAACGAATGCAAACCCATGTTTATAAAATAGCCGATGGCAAAATGGTAAATTGTGTCAAAAATATCTGAAATTTATTTAAAGAAAAGAAAACTACAGTGACTTCGATTTTCCTTCTAAGATAGGTATAGTTATAGATTGATATAGTTTTGATTGTTATAAAACAACTCAGTAAATGAAGAAATTTAAAGAAATTACATGATCAGTCCCTTTCAGTTAAGAAAATAATTGTTAATATATATTTAACCTGTTGTTCTCTTCCCTTGAGTTGATCAAGGAGAGCTTCAGTCTCTGGTCCTATATCTAGCTTAGAGTAGTCGTACACAAGAACAATCAGATCAGCATGATCAATAAACCACTAAAACAAAAACTATCAGATCAGTATGATCAATAAACCACTAAAACAAGAACTATCAGATCAGTATGATCAATAAAACACTAAAAAAAGAATCATAAGATCAGTATGATCAATAAACCATTTAAACAAAAACCATCAGATCAGCATGATCAATAAACCACTAAAGCAAGAACTATCAGATCAGTATGATCAATAAACCACTAAAACAAGAACTATCAGATCAGTATGATCAATAAACCACTAAAACAAGAACTATCAGATCAGTATGATCAATAAACCACTAAAACAAGAACTATCAGATCAGTATGATCAATAAACCACTAAACAAGAACTATCAGATCAGCATGATCAATAAACCACTAAAACAAGAACTATCAGATCAGCATGATCAATAAACCACTAAAATAAGAACTATCAGATCAGTATGATCAATAAACCACCAAAACAAGAACTTTCAGATCAGCATGATCAATAAACCACTAAAACAAGAACTTTCGGATCAATATGATCAATAAACCACCAAAACAAGAACTTTCAGATCAGCATGATCAATAAAACACTAAAACAAGAACTATCAGATCAGTATGATCAATAAACCATTAAAACAAAATGAATCAGTAAAATCAATAATTACAAAAATGCTAAAATGTCCGAGCTGTAAAGTTGGTCAATTTAGGCAACAACCACTGTGATTGAAACAAATCTAAAAATTATCTCCATCTATGTCAAAACAATATACCTGACAGGCGTCATTAAAGGGATATCTTCTATCAATCTTCCTGATAGTACCAGTCTCAAGAACTCCAGGAATCTCAGCAAAAGTGGCCTGGGGTAAAAGTGTTAAACTTAAAGAAACAATTAAACATTTAACTTGAATGAAATCATAAAACTAAAGCAGAATATTATCCTACAAGGTAATGTTTATTGAATGATCATTCCTGTTCTTGTTTCTTATGATTGACCAACCATAGTATTTTCTTAGTAAAGGTTGTTGAAGAATTAAAATCCTTGCAAGCCTAACAGGCTACTGGAGAGAAATATATTTATAATCCATCTAGTAACCCATTCAGCTTGCACGGACTTCATCTAGTAACCCATTCAGCTTGCATGAACTTCATCTAGTAACCCATTCTGCTTGCATGGACTTCATCTAGTAACCCATTCAGCTTGCATGGACTTCATCTAGTAACCCATTCAGCTTGCAGAGACTTCATCTAGTAACCCATTCAGCTTGCATGAACTTCATCTAGTAACCCATTTAGCTTGCACGAACTTCATCTAGTAATCCATTCAGCTTGCAGAGACTTTATCTAGTAACCCATTCAGCTTGCATGGACTTCATCTAGTAACCCATTCAGCTTGCATGGACTTCATCTAGTAACCCATTTAGCTTGCAGGGACTTAATCTAGTAAACCATTTAGCTTGCAGGGACTTCATCTATTAACCCATTCAGCTTGCATGGACTTCATCTAGTAACCCATTCAGCTTGCAGGGACTTTATCTAGTAACCCATTCAGCTTGCACGGACTTCATCTAGTAACTCATTCAGCTTGCACGGACTTCATCTAGTAATCCATTCAGCTTGCAGGGACTTCATCTAGTAACCCATTCAGCTTGCATGGACTTCATCTAGTAACCCATTCAGCTTGCAGGGACTTTGTCTAGTAACACATTAAGCTCGCTCAGACTTCATCTAGTAAACCCATTCAGCTTGCATGGACTTCTTCCAGTGACCCATTCTACTAGTCGGAACTAATAAAGTTCACATAAACTTCTACAGTTTTGTTTTGCATTTTCTTCAGGTTTCTTGAATCTTACATATCTTTAATTAAACGCAATGCACAGATTTTACCCTATCATGCACTTTCAATGTTTATTTTTACAAAGGATTGACTAAAACTAAGCATTTCAGCAATATTCTAAACACTGTCTTTTTATAGAAAACAATGCTCAACGCATTTCATGACTGAAATACCTAGAAGAATAACAAATTAAGACTAATTTTGTAATTAAAGTTCTATTTAGATCCATCTAAACATGCAAACAACAATCACACTTCTTAAATTGAAATTTTGAAAAAAACAACATTGAGATAAAAACTGTCAATGAAAAAAGGCAACAGGTCACAAAAAAAGAAAAAAAAATTGTAAACTGCAGAATGCACATTTCTTAGGAATTTAACAATTTTACAAATAATGTTTTTATTTTTAAACTTTCAAAAATGTTAATACAAAAATAGAATTGTTAACTTAAGCATCATATAAATACCTAATATATGTTAGATATGCAAATTTGTTTTTAAATGAAAAAATGATGAAAAACATTTTGACTTACCTTCTCTAAAAGCTTGTTAGGCATTTTCTTTCCCCTTAGTTTTTTAAGAAACTCTTGACCAAACTTTTGGAGACTACTGAACGCCCACTCAGCTGACATCTGTGTTCCATCAATCTAAAAAAATCGAAGTCAAGTTATTTGTCGTAAGCTTTTATTTTAAAATAAATTTCAGTCAAATCTTAGCTGAAGCTTTGAGTAGGAATCTATATGTATATTTTGCAGGTCTGTATGTCTGTTTATATCCAATAAACGTCAAAACGGTTGAACCAATCAGGCCTAATTACCAAAATGGCCCAAGGGAAGGTTTATAAACTGTCAAAATTGAAAATGCATAAGTTTAACTTGAAAAGTCTTTAAAAACTTGGGAATGATAAAAAATAGAGACTTTCAGTACAGCAATTAGAAGCAAATTTGATAATTAGAAAAGGGGATTGTACATTATATTACCTCTTCCTCCTCATCACCATACATGGCAATATTGAAATTAAATCCTGGAGAAGGCTCAGCAGCTGAAATCAGATTTAGTTAAAATCAATTTAACATATTAGAAATTAAACTCTAAACTTACAAGATCTAAACGCATTTTTGGTATACTCAGTTCCCAGCAGGTAGTTAATGATGGTTGATTTTCCTCCAGACCATGGACCCATCAATACAATCAGAGGTTTGTTGAAAATTTCAGGATCTCCAAAATGGCGATTGCTCAATTCTTTGTACTTGTATGACTTTTCCAACTCCTTAATGGAGTTCTCATAAACCTTCTTCAGATCTTTTAGGGTAGCTTCAGTCACCTTCAGAACTGCATCATTGTTTGGTTGGTCAAGTCCAAGAATCTGCGTGATATGTTCACGAGATCTTATCTCTGCAGGTGGGGGCTCAAACAGCCATTCATCATCATCATCATCAAATTCATCTTCAATGACTTTAGGCTCTTCAAACTCTGGAATTTTGTATTTTTTCTGCTTTTTCTTCTTCTCAGGTTTAGTTGTTTCCTTGGCATGTTTACTCTTAATAACCTTAGAGCTCCCAGAGGCTACTGTGTAACAGTTTCCAATCAGTCCAGTTGCTGGTACAACACTCTTATGCCCAAAGAGGAAACATTCAAATGCACTCTTTGACCCTTCCTTAGGATAGCCAATGTGGAAGGCAGTGCAACCCTTAGTTGACACACACAGCTTTCCGCATTCATCCACAGTCACAAATCCTTTGACTTTAGGCCATCCATTCTCAGTCCAACCTCCTCCACGGCATCCACCTTTTCCTAGCAGAGCAACATCAACATCTCCCTCAAGGTCAATAATAACATCCTCCTCTTCTTCCTCATCAACATCATCCTTTAACTCTTCTGATTGTGTGTCCATATTACTGGCTACATAGCATGCTCCATCTAAGGCAGATGCAGGGGAAACATTTTTGTGATTAAACAGTAGACAAGAGAATTTACTACCATCCTTGCTTGAAAGATCAAATGCTTTACAACCCTTCTGTGCTGTACAAATTTCTGCACACTCCTTCATAGTCTTCAATCCTTTGTCCATTGGCCATCCAGATGATTGCCATCCTGTCCCCCGACATAAACCAGAACCAAGTTTCTCATAACCATGGCCTTAGAAATTGTAAAGTTAGTGTTTATTGTATTTTGGTCTTTAATTCCTAATTTTGCACTCACCACTTCCTGGGTAATTGTCCTTGATGACCTTTTTTGCTCCTTTAGGAGCATCATGAGTGATTAGGGTAGATTCCACAGGAACAGCTCCTTGAATAATAAAACACTTGGCAGCTAGTCCACTGGCAGGTAGAACATCCTTGTGTCCCAGCAGTAGACAATCATATTTGTCACTTTCCTTGTTAGATAAGTCAAATGCAACACAGCCTGTTGTTTTCTTACAGCTTTCTGCACAGTCCTTCAAGGTTTTTCGTCCCTAGAGAATATTAAGACATTATACAAATTATGTTTATTGTACAAATTTATAAATTTACACATGCTATATCCACCATTAAATACATTAAATGTTGAATGTCTTAAAAAAGTAAAATGAAAAGTTAGGTTGTTTCCGAAAGATTTTGAAAATAATTAATGATAAACCTGGGATACAGGCCACTGACCAGACTGCCAACCTTGTCCTCGGCAAGCACCCTTCCCAAGCAGCTCTACATTCTCTAATCATAATCATTCATTACAAAAACAAATTGCAAATTCTTGATTACTTCTAGAATACTAGATATATTCTAGTTTTATCAATATTTTTCATTGTTATTCTATAGCTTACTGATGTTGACAAAATCCTGATCATCTTCATCAAGTATCTTAGCTCTTGATCTGGTTTCAGGTTGGGTAGCTTCAATAACCTCTTCAATGAACTTGGCTCCAATAAGAGTATAACACTCCCCAGGTACTCCTGGTTATATTTAACAAAGTTTTAATACCTTTTTGTTTGAGTGTTATGCTCTAAAATTGTTAAATATATATTTTGTATACCTGGTGCAGGTACAGGGTTTTTATGACCGTACAGCATACAGTCAAACAAATTCCCTTCTGGCCTTGATGTGTCAAAAGCAGTGCAGCCAGCCTTTCTTCCGCAAGCATTTGCACATTCCTTTAGTAATTTAGATTGTGTTCAGATTGTGTCAGGGGGGGGGGGGNTTTGGTAATCTTTATTACCTGTAGGGACTTGATGCCCCTGAGAACAGGCCATTTTTTTCCTTGCCAATGTGCACCCCTACACATTCCGTGTCCCAAATGGCGAAACTTGTGAGTCACTAAAAAATGTCACAGTTAAAAAACCTTAAAAAGTTAGATTCTGAAATAAAGTACCTCCATCATCTACTTCTTCTTCCTCAGGTTCTTGTTTTTCTTCATCAGGACTATCTGATTTTCCAAGCTTGTAGCAGTCCCCTGGGACTCCATAAGCAGAAGTAACATCCTTATGTCCATAAAGTGCACATTCTTCTTGTCCTTCTGCAACTAGTCCTATGTCAAAGCTTGTGCATCCTTTCTTCTTAGCACAATTTATAGCACATTCCTTAGGGCTGATATTTCCTTTAATGACAGGCCATTTCTTAAATGTCCATCCAGGTCCTCTACATCTGCCTTTTCCAAGTTGATAGTATTCAACTTCACCCTTGACTGGGAGCTCTTCCTCTACTTCTTCTTCTTCCACTACTGCTGCAGATCCAACATCTTCAGGTACAACTCCAGGTTTATCTGAAAGCACATAGCAGTTTCCAGGGACTCCATATGCAGCTTGAACTTTTTTATGACCATAAAGGGCACATTCAAATTTTCTTTCAGATTGCTCATCACTAAGATCAAACGCTGTGCATCCTTTTTTTCTTGCACAAGCCTCTGCACATTGTTTTGCTGTCAAATATCCTTTTAATGTAGGCCATCTCTTGTAGGTCCAACCTTCTCCTCTACATCTTCCCTTGCCTAAATGGGCCATATGAACAGGACCTTGGACATCAAGCTCTTCTTCATCATCCTCTTCAGCATCAGCATCAGATTCATCTGAAGGGGTATCTGAAAGTTTGAGGCATTTTCCTCCAAGACTTTTTACGGCTAGAACATCATTATGGCCAAAGAGAAGGCATTCAAATGTTTCATCCTTCTCCTTCAGTATATGGAATCCTGTGCAAGATTTCTCCAAGCAGGATTTGGCACATTGCTCTGTGGTCAAACGACCCGCATCAACTGGCCAAGGAGCTTTTCCCCATTCTTTACCTCTGCAACCTCCTTCACCAACAGTAACAACAAACTTTCCTCCCACAGAGATTGGAGCTGCCTTTGCAGGCTTCTTCTCTGCTGGTTTAAGAGTAGGTTTAGCTTTGTGACTTTCTACAGGCTTAGGAGGAGGTGGAGCTTTCTTCTCTACTGGCTTAGACTCAGGCTTATTTCCTGATGGTTTTGGTGTTGGCTTCTCAACCAGCTTTTCTTGCTTTTCTTGCATTTCTTCTGGTTTTTTTGTCTCTGATTTTTTACCCTTCTTCATGTTTTTCTTATCGTTATCATCATCATCGTCATTTTTATCATCATCAGAGTCATCATCTTTATCAGCATTTTTCTTACTTACATTTTCCTCTGGTTTTACTTGTTTCCTGTCTACCTTTACCCCTTCATCAGACTTTGATGCTTTTTTTGGTTCTTCAGATTTAGTCTCCTCAATTTTTACTTCAGCAGGTTTTTCTTTTTTATCTTCTTTAGCCGCCTTGGGAGATTCCTTCCCTGCTGCAGGAGCATCTTTGGAAACTAAAAAAAATATTTTTTTATAGTCAAAATTTTAGAATTAGGAAAAAGAATAATATACTAAAACAAACTAAATATTTCATGCATACAGAAAGTTAGTTATTATTTAGCATGGAACACCTTTTCCAGTTAAAAACTCTTAAGTTTTCCAGAAAATTTTTTGTGTCATAAAATGTTGTTATGATAATAAAAAAATAAAATTATTAAAAAAAAAATTATTAGTCAAAAAAACTATAGATTGAAAATCTTTGAGCACCAAATTAATATGTTTTAACATATAAAATTACAAATAGCAAGTTCTACAAAATTTTATTTTACATCAATAAAATAACATTGCATGACATATACCTAAATTTTTCTCAAGTGCTTCTAAAATATATTTATTGCAATCTTCCTTGGAGGGAATGTTGGGAATATCTAGAATAAATTTATATTTTTCAAAAAAAATTTCAAATTTGATTTTTTTCCTCAATGTAATGAAAGGTATCTCTTAAGGGTCTTAATAAAAGATGAAAAATATGATAAATGGCGAATGAGATATTAAAAGAATATAGGGAGTAAAAGAAGTTTAGAAAGGATAAAGTATAAATAATGGAAACGATAAAGTATTGAAACCATTAAAGATGTATTATGCATGAAAGATTAAGGATGAAGGATGAAGTATGGAAAGGAGGAAGGATAAAGTTGGAAAGGATTAAGGATGCAGTATGGAAAGGATGAAGGATACAGTATGGAAAGGATGAAAAGGATGGAGGTTGAGGGATGATTTAGAATGTCAAGTTAAAATCCTGCTG